TTAATCCGATCGACTTCAAATTTGTGCTGTGCCTTCTAAAAGCATTGACGATGAAAAGTTGTGCAATCTGAGTTTTCGTCGAGTGGCGCGGCGTCAAAGATCAACTCTTCGCCATGACACAGGAAGTTGTTGTAACTTCAGTGTACATGCTCACATCTGAACAAATCTTTACGTGCTTGATAACTCTCCCACCCCGCAGACATCTACACGCCAATACCGATTTATATTGATAGCGCCAAGTGCTATGTAGCTCCACAAAGGGGACACAGGAAGTGACATATAACACCTTCATGCGGCGTCGTAAGCGCGTAGCAAATTCACAGAATATGCAACGCGGCCGGCTCACACCCGGACGCGCTACAAGTGCGAGGGCCCGCCCAACGCTGCTTGCAGCTTTAATTATATTTTATGTTGCTTTTAAACTTTTTTTTTTTTATATATTTCCCTTTTGCTTTTATGTTTTATGTAAAGCACTTTGAATTACCTTGTTGTTAAAATGTGCTATACAAATAAACTTGCCTTGCCTTACTGGCAGGAATGCGCTGGCTACCTTCCAGCACATGGTGTTGGAATATTCCCAACTGAAATGTCTACCTGGATATTGTGGTAGTATTTACGGACAATTGGCCTGAAATGTTGACAATGACTGAATTTTCCCAAAGGTTTGCGGCTCAACCTGGCTAAGTGCGAGTTTGGAAAGGCAGAGATATTTTAGAAGAGACATGCCTCTCAATCACATCCTCAATACAACTCTTTGGGGAAAGCCCGTGACGGCAAAGATGGTGGTTATCCCGCCCCTCCCGCTAGAAAGCCAATTGTCTGCTTTTAACAGGCACAGTGGGAATCATATTTCAGCCAATCGTGTGGTTCCACTGACGTAAGGGTCTGTTTTACTTATACTGCGCATGTGCGGAAGTGGTGACGCGTAGTGGTATAACCGGTTGGGAAAAACGCTTTTAAACCTTATTTTCAGTGATGTTTATCAAATTTTACTGCTGATTCATGTAGTTTTTATGTCCTGGTGACCTGAAAAAGTGCAGTTCTGTCTCTCTCCCTAATCATTCAGATAGGAGCCTGGTCTTGTTTGAAATAACTGCCCGGGGGCGTTACCAAGATGGCAGCTGAATGGCATGACTTGCCTCTAAAGACTTTGGGAAAGGCCACCGTAACATACTTGGTGAAACAAGTTGGCCATGGCCAGGTCTGACCTTCTGATGTCAAGGATTCTGCCAAATTGGCCTACCGACCCAACAACTTGACGTGAATTTCGGCATTTTCTCAGTATGGTCGGTTACTACAGATGTTTCTGTAAAAACTTTTCCATCGTGATGGCACCTCTTACTAGCTTGTGTCCCGTACAAGGGAAGAGAAGGAAACCCTCACAATGCTACTTGCATTGCAGCATTTCGAAGTCTTGGATGTAGTTCTTTGCCAGTTGTCGTTTTTACTGACAATAACCCTCTTGTCTTTCTATCCCAAATGTATAACCATAATCAACGGCTGATGAGGTGGGCTCTGCTGGTTCAGTGATACTATTTGCGGATCCGTCACAAGAGAGTGGTTGACAGCTTAGTAGCTATTTTATTGAAGGGGGGTGTTACGACCAGTGGGCCGTTTGTGTATATGGGATGTTCTGTGTGTTTTCTTCTGCCCTAAGCAGGACCTTGCCCCGCCCCCAATGCTGCAGCCAGCAGGCTGAGGAGCACAGCTGATTCCACTCCTAATCAGTGGAGAGTACAAGGGCTGGAGAAGGAAGCTGCTGAATGTGAGAGTATGGTGGTCACAGTGAGACAGTGTCTACTGGGAGTGCTTGGAGTCTACAATGAGTGTGTGGTAGTCAGCAGAGACAGTTGAGTCAGTGGAGTCGTTTGGGCCGTGAAGACCAAGTGGGATGGATGACCGAGTAAAGCCGGGGGTAACTGACCGTGGCGATAATGGAAACACCAAGTGTAGTGTGTCTTACTGTTTTTGTTTGTTTGCTGTGTTGCCAGCGCTAGTTTTGTGTTTGGGTTTACCTACTGCCTTAGTTCCCTTTAAAAAGACACTTGTTGCTCGCTTCCCTTTTGGGTGTTGTTTTCTGTTACATCGTTGGTTAAGAGATTTTTTGTTAGTTAGTGTGAATAAATACTCTTTACTTTTCAACATATTCCTGCTTCTTTGTTTTCTTCTACCCTGGAACCACATTTATAATTATACTTATCTCTCCTCCCTTGGTCTCCCATCTGAGGTTTGTAACAATGCTCAACTGTGTTCACCAGTTAGTTGCCAGTGTTTTTTCTGAAAACAGCTGCCTGTGGGGAAACAATGCTATGGGAGTGCTGAGAGTGAAACAAAAAAGTGATGTTGGTGGCTGGACAGTTAAACGATGTGTTGGGGGTGATGGCGTGTTAGATAAGATGCATGCCTTTGGTGTGAGAGACCTGGGTTCAACTCCCCACTGTGACACATCCACCAATGTGTCCCTGAGCAAGACGCTTAACCCCTATGCTGACATAAATAGCAATTGTATGTCGCTTTGGATAAAAGCGTCAGCTAAATGAATAAATGTAATGAAAGTCCCTATGAGTCTCTGTATGCCAAGGGGCGCTGCAGATTCAAGTGATAATTCTCTGTAGGTTCATCACTCAAAAACGTCATTGTTTTCACTTTGTCATGTAAAGTAATTATCATATCACCCCCATCTCTTTAGCAAGGCCAACATAGTGTAGAAAAAATAATGTGGAACTAGTGATCGACTCGGTTGCACAAAGAAATGTGTTTGATAAATCTGTATTTGAAAGTTGTAAAATATGTGAAAGCTAAGCAGTCTTGGACTTTGGATTTTGCATTGTGTCCTTGATGAAGATGGCAAGCCAGTTTGAACTTTATTGTCCCTCTACCCTCATCTCCCTTTTTCAATGGTACCGGTGTGGTGAAACTTTGCCCCACTCTTATTGATAAACTGACTTGTTTTGTATGTTAAATCTTAATCTTTGCATGTAAATGTGGATATAGGGTGGTTGTTTATACTACTACTTTTACATGTGTTACTGCTGTACATACATTGTATGTGTGATGTGTGTGTTGGACCTGTTATGTAACAATAGACTTAGGGATAATAAAGTCAGCAGAAGCAGAATGTACAGTACTGTAAGCACATAAAAAAATTAACCATATTATTTAGCACAGTGGGAGAGGGGGAAAAAAATCACACATACACAAAATTTCTGCACAGACAGAATATATACAATCAGGCGTGTGGTGTCCGAACAATAATGCTGCGATGATGTGTTCAGAAGAAACCTGCTTGACACTGTTCTTTAAGTTTATTACATCAAGGAGTTCAACATCAATTACAAGCTCTGCAGCAGCTTGGAGAGTGACCCAGCCCGATGGCCACTCTGTCTCTCTGTACATCAAACATAGCTTATATAGGATATGTGTAGGTATCTGTTAGGTACCATAGAAGGGTTTGAGTCTGTAAAATAAAGCTCCAACCCATAGAAAGGTACAGTACTACTCTGAGGTAACAAAACAAGGGGTCAGAGGTCAAATTCTATAGAAGGGTTCAATCCCTACATAACCACCAATCACTGCTCTCCGCTTAGGTCACTGACCCTCTGTCCAGCTGCTATAGTGCTATTTTGAACTGTTATAGTCAAATGCACATATATTGGACACCACAAGCTCAAACACACTTTTCCACATACAGACACACACACCCTTGAATAAGAGATGCACAGTGCATGTATCGCTACGCAGGCCTTAATGCTCAATTCTGATTTATTGTCCAGATCAGATTTTTTTGATTGACTGTTGACATCATCTCCTGATTTTATGAAATATGTTAACGGTCCCTTTCATTACATTACTAACTTTTTCTGGCAGTGTGCAGCGTGTATAAGCTCTACAACTCCCTCTCTTTCCAATGTTTCTGCCTGAAAATTCATGAGCAAATAATGAGGAGACAGTCACATTTTTAATTATGGCTTTTTGTGGAGGTTTTTCCATTAACCATGGCTCCATCTAGTGCAGAATTGTGATGACTGTCTCTCTCTAAAGCAGGGGTATTCAATTAGAATTCAAAGAGGTCCAGTTACAGAAAATTTCCTGTAGCAAAGGTCCAGAACATCAAAACGACTAACTTGCGTTATCATTCAGTACTATAACGTATAGTTGTAAAACATATTTGTTAAACATTGTTAAACATATGTTTTTAGTCAACAATGGACAGACGGTCAGTTTTTACACCAAACTGGAGGGATAATAAATAACTACTCTAATAATAAATTCTAAATTTAAGTAAACTAAAATAAAGTGCGTAATTTTTAGAAAAAAATGAAATAAAGTGTAGCTTGAAGTGTAGTCTTAACCAATTTTATAATAAACACTCAACACATCATAACAAATAAACAGCTGTAATGATTCTTTCATTCCCCCTTACAGAGCTACCACTCCTACTTTCGTGAGCTCTAGTTTGTCCTGCCAGCTAGCATTGGAGTTCTATCAGATATTCTGGGTCACTTTGGCCTGCAGTCTGAATGCGGTCTAAATGTGTAAATGCCGGACCCTCAACCCCACAGTATCCTTCCCCACACACAAGGCCGTGCTTTACAATGTGTAAAGAACGCTCTGGAACTATAAAATTCAGAAAACGTTCCTTGAGCTTCTTTGTGTTTTGAAAGTGAAAAAACTTATTATATGCAGAATAGAAATGTTAAGATATATATGTTAAGATTTAAGACTTCTACCCAGACAGTTTAAGCCGCTTCTACTTCCATCGTGTCTTTTTATGGTATTATGGGAAAGGTACCAAAATTTCAACCAGGCTCCTTTTATTTGTAAAATTAGTTTTGTTTAAATTCAAAATAGTTTATAATAAAATAAAATTAGTTAAAATTTGTGCATACAGTTTCCATACAAAGTAATTTTTTAAGAGTGAGTATATTAAAGTTCAGACACAGCTAAATAATGACAGACCAGCCACCCAACATAAAATTAGACATTTTATTATTCTTTCTTTTGATATTTTCTTATGTTCTTCTCAAAAAGAAGTATATTGTTACAGTTTTGTTTCATAGAAAATAAAAAGAACAAAACAACGACAACAACAACAAAGTTTATACATTTTATTTTCCCTTTCATAATTTATGTTTTGTCTTTTCTCCCATGTTTCGGAAGAGTAATATTGTCATAGAAAAATACTATACATAAATAGAACTTTACACAATTTGAAAAAACAAAAACAAAACACAATATCAACGCATACATTATTAATGGCCCAATCCGGAATCGCTATATGCTTTGATGCCACAACACATTTTTTGAAATTATTTCATGTTAAAATAAAGTCAGAAAAACATTTTGTAGCCCTGCATGAAGCACAAATTTTTTTGGAAAACGTTTTAGAGGCAAATATTGGAGACACTTTTATGACCAACAGATCATAAGAGACACTGAAATTTGTTAGTTTGGAAATTATAAAACAACTTATTTTATCCATTGTAGAGTCACAGCTACAGTTGGCAGGAGGTCTAGTGAAGAAGCTTGTATTCATGTCTACAGTAATGGTGATTAATACAGTTAATTTTAGTTTTCTAGCCTGTACACACTAAAAAGCTAGTTAACTGCAATCTGGGCAATGGGCTAATATTTATATAACATAATCAATTGTTACCTATAGTTTTCTTTGCGTAAGAAATTTAGTTAAAAAGATTCGGTATTTATTATTTAGTAAACAAGCAAAATCTAATCAAATTATCAGACCCAGTTAAATGGGCCATGTCTGAATTTTAAATATTATGTAATGTTGTGTACTGCCACGTTGCACAATCAGCTTCTACAACTAGATATTAGTTGAGAACCTCCGATATGGCTACTGCAGGGCAAAAAGTGAAAGCCACCTTTTATTTTGAAACACTTCCAACAAAAAGGTGTGATTTGTATAAGACTTAAAACAACTGTCGTACATTGCACAACAATCTATGCAGAAGAAACCCCAACACATGCTCCATCCCCAGCAGGAACGTGTCATAGAAACATACAGAATGGCCTGCTGCCAAAGCTGTCATTAAAATAAAAGAAGAAATGCAACATGCATTGCATGTTTTCCCTACTGCTCAAGGGATTTGAGCTAGAATCCTCTTGATAACTGGGTTATTTTTCAGCTTTTACTTAAGATGAACCATAATAACAATGAATTTATGAGTCTGTTTGAAGGAGGAAGGCCTTACTGCAGCTGATGATGTAATACATGTCAGATTATACAATAGCTTGTCAAAATAACAGTGTAGTGTAATAAAATACAGTATACTGTCATGAAAACTTCAGACTGACATTGGAACATTTATCAAAATTTACCCAAATTTACCCAAAATTCAAGACATTAGTATCTTACTTTGAAATCTTAATTTGAAATGATTGCAACATCACTAATACATTGTCACAATAATTGAATGATTGTAATAATGTAACACATTTTCTGTAAATGTGTAATTTGTTACATTTAATTAATGATATAATTGAAAGGAATTCTTACAAACTAAATTCAACTGTAGGACTTCTGTTACGGTTCCGGATTGGGCTTTTAACTGACCTTTGACCCAGAAATGCATAGGGAGTATGGATGACCACACATACGTACATACATACATACATAAAAAAACAACAGAACAATTTGGAAGGCTTTTCTCAGCATTTTGTCTTCTTTTTTTGCTGCTTTACAAAATGTTTTTTTGGCCACTTGACGTATAAAAAAACCACGACATGTTTGCTCTGTTGTACATGAAAATACTTACAGTGCATGGTATTCAACAGTGTGCTTCTTTTTTTGTATAAGTGCTTGGAGATAAGTAAATGTCCCTTTTTTATTATTTATGAAAAAGTTGTCTTTCTCCGGGTTGCTCACAAACCACACTAACAGTTTATACTGTTTTTAGTCTCATCACGTTTTTGTAAAGGAGAGTAAATGGCCCGCAGCCCTGGAAAAACATCACCACTGTACAATGAAATGTACACCACCTACTTCTCTGACACACACACACACACACACACTGACCATCCATACATACATGTAAACACACGTGTATAGTACATACAGAAACCTTGACGCACAAGAGGCACACATACCAATACACTCAGCCTCATGCACATAGGCTCCCTCATTCATACACAAACACACATACATGAGTGTTCTCAAAGGGGGCAGCTAACTGTATTATGTAACAATGTGAGGAAAGAGGGAGAGACATGCAATGTTAAAAACAGAGAGAACAGAGGTTGATTGTTCCTGGTTTTTTTCAACCTTTTCAGAGGACAAAGGATATTCCCTGTCCTCTCTTTCACAGACTCATTCTCCCATTATTCCTATTCTGTGTTATATGTATTGCCATATGTCTCACACATTTTGTAGACGCACTGTATTAATAGTTCTCTCTATTGTGCTTACATACATCTTTACACACAGTAGGCTAACACAAAAAAATATTACGTTCTCACCCGTATACACTCTGTCACTGTCTCACACACACAGCCAAGTGCTGTAGGAGGGGAGTGACGGCTAGTCTCATTTCTGTTAATCCACAGATAATTGGGACAAAGACAGTTTTGGCAGAAAAATCATGAAAACAGAAGGTGAAGTAAGTGTAAGAAAACTCTGTTGTTACCAAACAGACTAAGAAGATGAGGTGAGGAGAGTAAAAAAAAACCTAGTAATTAATTTGTAGCTTCAGATTAAGTTTGTCATTGTACAATATCACACATGCCAGAGTTGCAAAGTGGGTGGAGCTATTTCAGGCGCATAGATAGTTGGAGCACTTCTACAACTCTGAGCCAAAGATTTATAGTTGTATTAGAAAATGTGTTTTTAAAAAAATAAAGTCGAACTGGTGCTTTTTGGTACGAAACTATGGGCTGATATTTGTGCCAGTAGATTATGAATTTGAATTGCTCCACTTGAATAATTGCATAAAAAAAACTGAATTTGGCATAGCATAATTTGAATTTGTATTGTTTAACTTAACTTAACTTAATAACTGTATTGGAAAAACTCAATCTAAATAGCATAATTTGAAATTGAATTTATTAGTTTGAAACTGAATGTAATGAAATTGAATTCAGTTGCAACTGAAACTGTATTTAAGCCTCACTTTAAATTTTGCTTTCAGTTGCAACTGATTCGCTTCTCATTTCAGTTTCAGTCCACAAGATTCATTTTCAAGGTCAAAGACACTTCAAGGTCCTTCAGGACTTCTTTTAGCAGTGGAGTGGCCCTCTGCTTGCTGTTGGAAAGAATGCAGGCTTGATCTGGTACTCTTGAAGTGTCTTTGACCATGAAACTGAATCTTGTGGATTGAAATTGACACACTGACACACATCAGCCTATACGAAACATTCAATCACAAATTAAAATTCTACTTATTTACTATAATGCTGTGTTTTGTTCTCAACAGCCCTGACGTAGGGTCTCTACAGGTCTGTGCATGTAATTGGCACTTCCAACTGGATTAGTCTCCACAGCAATAGCAGCCAGGGCATTAAGAGCTGTCCACAATGCCAGACTGACGGACTAAAGGGTTAAGCAGTTTTTGTCAAATCGAGTGGGTTATATCATGTATACGCGCCTTTTGAGATACACCCACAAAGGTAGATATATACAGACACACATGTACATGCACATCATAAACAATAGTTGCAGGAATACAACACAGCCAAACACACAGATGTAAACATAATGATACACGTGCACAAGCTGTACTATTTCATGTCCTTATGTTATCTGTGCATAATGGCCCTGTTCTATAAGGTGTTTGTATGAGACTTGCTCCTCGTCAGAACAGTTTGGCACTTATGCATCGTGATAAATTCAGTATCTGTTTGCAGATGGTGCCGTTAAATTTGTTCATGATGTTTGTGCCACAAAAGGGTCAGTCTTCCTCACAAAGCCAAACATCAGTAAAATTTTAATGTTCATGGCTGATCTATACTCTATTTGAAGGTGCTATATTTTAAACATCAGTTGCCAAAATAACTGTCGTAGCTTGTTATTATTGTGGTCGTGATGATTAATAATATCTATTCTAAAACAGTGGAGCTGATAATGGTTGAAGTTTTTAGTTTTTTTAATTAAGACAGCATTGCCTGTGAACCCTGTTGCTTAGTATAGCAAAGAGGATGTTACTTACTTTTAACTTTGCTTGTTGTTCACACTGGTGTGCTAAATGTTGACTTGGGTTGAGCTAGTCACCTATTTAGTCTATTCTAATGTACACCCAATGCAAATCATGCTTACAGTAGTTATGTGGTGTGTAGCCTCAAATTATTTAAGCACAAGGAGAGTAAAGCATTATATTTAAAATGCATACATAGTAGCTACTGCTCTTTGACTTTGTAGGCCATCAGTGAGCTGAGGGGCAATGAACCCAGGACACTCTCTACTATGTTGGTGTAGTAACAGATTGGGCAATGTAGATGAGCAACTCTCCTGGCAGTTGGCAAAAACAAACAGAAAAGGCTCAACAATCTCTCAAACTGGTGTATGAAAATGTTCTTCTATTGGCAACAGTTTCCTCCGGGGGAACCTCAGCTGCCCAACTGTGTTGCAACAAAAGTTGACTTTGTTAATAAATTCCATTGAAGATGTAATTCGTCAGGAGAGGAAAGCGACTTTCTTTCTCTTCCCTTCGATGACTGGATTGAACAAAAACAGTTTGGCAGTTGTGATGACATCATTGTATTGACCTTGTAATAGATTTTTTTTATAATATCACTGTGTTGACCTTATGATGTGCAGAGGTATCCAATATAGAAGTCTGCCTTCATGCGACAGCTAGATAAAAAAAAAAAAAAACGGAACTTGACTTTTCTAGAAAGTTGGTCTGGAATTGAATCGTAGCCTTTCTTAATACTAATGAAATCTGCAAACTGAGCAAGGCAGTTTCTCTCATCAATACAGTTTCATTTAAAATTTCCTAAAATCACTTACAATATTGTGAAATAAGGCAGATCGCTCTGGTACCATCAGTTGTATACACTTCTATAAACCTGTGGTCTGGCATAAAAAAAAAAAAAAAAAGCTGAAATTACCTAAGCTTTTTATTAGTTTTTTAAGTAAAAACAAGATTTAAAGAGTCGATCAGTTAACATGGTTGGTTAAAGTGCCAAGCAAGTGGTGGTTTTATGTTGAAGCAATACCGAGGACTCTGAGCCAGCTCTCAGGAGTCTGTCTCACTCTTTTTCTGCACTATGCTTCCATGGAGAAATTTACTGTATAACAGCAGTTCGACCCAGCATTAATGGGATAGGGCGACTGTGAGCATGCAAGTTTGTGTGTGTAGGAGTCCCCGTGTTTAAATAGAATTACTTCAAGCCAGTGGAGTTTGTGTGTTTGGGCCTGTTCCAGTAGATATAACTTTACACTTCATCACCAGGTATAGTATGTCCCCTGCCTGAGTGTGGCAGAGTGAATGCATGTGTGTGTATGTCTAGAGATTCATTTTTCGTGTGTGTGTGTGTTACAGGTCTAGCGGATGATCTAAAGTGTTGTTATTGTCCTCTGTGTCGTCATTGGCCAGTGGGTTGCGGCTGATGACCAGCTCCAGTCTGTCTCCAGCCTCTGTGATCAGCGGCACTGCCAGGCAGCAGTCGAAGTCCCTCGTCCTCACATGGTTTACCTGGACAAAGACGGAGAGATTCAGACAATGGCTGCTATGGTAAATAGTACTACTGTTGGTTCATTAGCTAGCTAACAAAGACTGAGGTCTAACTATTGCTTAAGGTTAAAGGATAATTCCTGATTACAACTTGGGTCTTATTTTTGTCATTCACTCTTTCCTATAATGATAATATTGTACTAAGCGAATTAATTGCTGAGAACATGGGGATATTGCTAAAAAAAGGACAAATCAATTAAAACAAGCAGTCAGGTGATCAGACAGCTTGAATCAAATGCTCAGGTTAGAATTATTTCGAAAGAAAAAAACAAAGGCAATTGGTAAAATTGTTATCCAAGCTGTTGTGTCTGGAGTATCAGAAGGACTTTCAAACACCAAATCCCTGTGTTTTTTTAAATACAAGGCCGCACACCCAAACACAAAAAAGCAGTCTAGTATATGATATCCGCGATATCTGTGCATCCGTGTGACGAATGCACAGACCTGTTATTGGGGAAAACTAAACAACCACCACAATGGCTCAACACAGAAGGGCCAACTCCTCAGGTCAAGACTGAGCAATTTATCTAGACTTGAAGAATAACAAACACTCTTTCAAGGACAGCAATGTCCATATTTTGGATACGGAGGACAGATGGTTTGAAAGAGGTGTGAGAGAAGCCATATATACCAAAGTAGAGAAACCATCTCTCGGTCGAGGAGGTGGTCTGTAACCACCAATTATCCCCTTCCCATGAAATTTAACAAACACTTACATTTGGCCTCATGACAATGCCAGCGATGGTTGTTCACGCTTGACCTCCGCTGACTAAAGACCACAACGACTGTCGTTACAACAGCAAGGAGCACTAACGAACCAAATGGTATCATCACCTTGATTAACAACCCCACAGAGGTTAAATACCTGGGATTCCCTGTCAGTCAGTTAAAACTGAAGAAGTCGCTTGACAGGTTTGAGGTGGAGGATGAGAGGTGAAACATCTTCATGACCTGGATGACTGAAAATCCTCACAGACAACTGATAGAAATGATGGTTGACTGGAACTACAAAAAAAAGACCCAAGACATAATAAACCATAATTATACTTTAACCTTACATGACTCCTCTCAGGCTAGTGCTGATAACATGCTTAACATTGCAGTCTGTAAGAAGTAATGTGATGAAGCTGTGTTTACGCTGAGGTATTTCACATGGAAATCAAACAATCAGTACATGGCTTAAATGGTGAATTTTAATTTTATTTGGTGGTGTTTAAATCCACATTACATGAACCATGTAGTAACTATTAAGGGTGCTTTGATTAATCAGCAACCGATTGCTATTGGAGCTAAATAGTTTGATCTATAAAGGCCGATCCGATGACTTAGTGCTGCCCAGGTATATTACTTGCCGGCGACCCATTCTAGTATTTTGGAGAGAGAGAGACTTGTATTACATTATAAGACGCGTAAAGAAACACATCAGTGCCGATGTCATTCGGTACCATATTGGTTTTGAACGCTTTGGTTGGCTACATCATTAACAATAAGCCTCCTCCACATGCAGCTCACCTGCTGCTGTGAAAAAAATCCAAAACACGAGTTAAGTTTTTTGGGGTGACTTTATAAAACATACTGCAGACAACGTCAACAGAGCAGACAAATACAGGGAGAGAAAAACACAGAGGCAGGGAGAAGCGAGCAAGTATGTGTGCAGTAAGAGACAGGTGCAGTTGTGAGAGAACTTAAGGGAAAAACAAGGTGAGCAGATTAAAGTAGTTTGTGAAAACACAATAAGGTGGAGAACTAAGTGGAATTAAATGGTGAAATAAGGAATAACCTACTACTAATTATCCAAGGAATGTTAAAATCAATAGCAACTGGACTTGGTTGAAGATACTTGAAGACGTTTCATCCCTCATCCGAGAGACTTTTTCAGTTCTGACTGACTGGTGGGGAAACTCCGCTATTTAACCTCTGTAGGTTCTTTGACAAGATGATCAATACTGCTGGTTCGTTAGTGCTCCTGGTTGTTGTAACGACAGTTGTTATGGTCGTTGGAGCAACCCAATGCAAGTCTGAACGACCATCGTTGGCCTATTCACCTGAGGTCAAAAGTGAACGTTTGTTTAGTTTCCTGGTATGTGATGAAAGAACAGTATTGTAAGTCGGGGATATGGGGTGTTGGCAGGCCACCTCTCCTGTTAAGTCACGGCGTCTCAATCCGGGTGTAAATGGCTTCGTTGACACCTCTTTAAAACCATCCATTCTCTCTCTCTAAAATGTGCACCTGGCGGTCCTCAAATGAGTGTCCTTTATCCTTCAGATGTAGGTAGAGTCTAGCCCTGAGGGGTTGGCCCTTCTGTGCTGAGCCATGAGTTTGTGTAGTAGTTGTTTAGCAACATTGTAAGGGCTGCTGATACCTTCAGCCTGAGCTCTTCCGCTTCTCTTAAGTTGTTTTTCCTTATGGCCGATTCTGTTGCTGTGATGAGGTCCACTATAGGTAGATGCTATGGTATGATGGGAAACTTTGTTTACCTACCAGTCAGTCAGAACTGAAGAAGTCTCCCAGATGAGGGACGAAACATCTTCAAGTATCTTCAACCAAGTCCGGTAGCTATTAATTTTAACTTTCCTTGGATAACTAGGACCTGTATGACTGAGAACCTTCACACACAACTTACTACCCTGCCACAGTTATATTGTCATTCTATGGAAAACATTGTATAGCTATTAAGCTCTAAGCTGTTCTCAATAACCAAGCATAGGCTGCTGTGAATGTTTTTAATATTGTGTCTCAGAGAGAGAGACATTTTCAGTACTTTGTAAATCTCTTTATTTTCATACTTCATAAACAATGTTGTTAAGAATAACTAAAAACAATGTTAAACAATAAATAGAAGGTTTCAGGTAGTGGTTGATACTTCTTCTGTGCCAAAAATCCTGATTGGAAAATAACAGTAATTGTAGGCCTTTTTATACAAAGTATTCTAATTTCAGGGGGGCATATTTATAAAGAAATGTCAGATCCACCAACACAATCATGGTATCTTTCCTGTTATTGCTCAGCCAGGCCTTTTACTGTAGCCATCTTTAGCCTATCAAAAACACACCACTGTTATTTGGGACTATGTATAAAAGGGTTCTACATGGTTGTCAAGATGTAGATGTTAACACCCTCAAACGTTAAACAGACTTCCTTATCATTACCTGCAGGATCCTGTCGTAGGGTCTGAGCCCAGCTCGGTCAGCTGGACCATCAGGTCTGATCATGTTGACATAAACTCCTTTCTCCAAGAAGCCGTCTGACACACTGAAGCCAAAGTCATCAATCTCTGGGTCCTTTACCACTGTTACCTATAGACAACAAGGATGTGATGTTGGCGAAACTGAAGCTTCATATTTCAACTCAATTTAGTTTAATCCAAGTTTAAACATGAACGGAAAGCAGTGGCTGTCTGTTTGTTTTTTTTAACCTTAATCCTTTACTCCTATGTCAAACATGTTTGGTCAGCACAGGTTATCTTGAGGGTCTCTAACACACCAGGGTGAACACAAAGTTATTACTAACCAACAGGTGTCACATCAAATGATCCAATGTTCTGTTTAAAAGTTGCCCTTGGAAAAGACTATAAAGACAACAGCTGATCACCAGCATGAAAGGAAATGATCGGTCAGTAGTCCTAATCCAAAAGACACAAAATAATTAGCCAACCACTCCCTATGTCATCGTGAATCTTATTAAACAGTCTCATCATATTCTCAGAGTACGTCTGACAAAAGTTGCATCAGTGTAGAGTTTTACTTTAGCATTGCCTGCCATTGGTCTCACTTGTGGAAGAAGTTAAAATAAAGACAGACGGCTCTTTCTCACAGATTTATGCTGAACTGCCTAAAATGGCTTCTGGTGCACCGCAAAAGATACACGCTATGATCGGCCACAGACACCAAATGTTGGCATGGTGTGTCAGGGCCCATGAAGTGGAGTTTGGACATTAAGCCAGCTGTTTGGGACATTAAACCAATTTTGGAGATATAGCAAGCATTATGATTGTACATTTTTTAAAGAACACTGACAGAAAAATCCACCTTTTTTCTTGATATTTAGCCAAAATGGATAATGGGGTTTCTGTATTGTTCTTTTAGGCTGACAGAGCATACAGGGAATGGTATTTAATTGATTTAAAAGCATTAAAGTCTTGTGTTACCACTGCGGTTCTACTGTATAGGATATACTGTACAATGTTCACCCATGCTTTACTGATGCACGATTAAATCTAGGATAAATGATTCACAGGCCACGCCGCAACCACTGTTATGCACAGTTTCATTGCAGGATAAATGCAAGATGGAGGTTTTTACAGTTGTTAATCAACAGTTCTTTTCTGGCCTGCATTAACAAAACTGAAAAAAGGCAACACTGTATGACAAATGAATATTGTATGATATTTTAATGAGACACCAGTTAGAGGCTGTAAATTGGCTGATGGCCAATGAACCCATCAGATTTTAATGTAATTTCTCCCTGTGGATAACGGAATGGATAATGTATTTCTTATTCTGGCCTTGGGCTGAACAAGACTGAACAGATCTTTGTATGAAGTCATTATTGTAAATCCACAGGAGGGTGAAGACATGTAGCCACTAGCATAACAGTTGCCTGGGAGGCAACTGGATGCCATGCCTTGCGCTGCGCTGTCTATCATACACTTGAACTTTATACTTATTTTGGATTGTTTAACATAAATTACATAGAGGCCTTTAACACAGAGGACATTTTGACATGTGATTGCAGTAAAAGCACAGGTGCAAATTTAAAAAATCCTGAATTTTATTTAGTTGCTTCAGTGTCGGGGTCCTTGCGCACACTGGCTCACTGTCATGGTGTACTGGGACATTTTAATTAGTAACATCTGTACTTATTCTACTATGACGAGTCAAATGTCTACTCTGAAACAGGTTTATTAAGCTGAAAACACCCAATACAAGACAGACAAACCCTGAATTGAAAAAGTGTATGAACTGCACTTAGGCTCAAGACTAGAAAGGCGCTTTACAAATGCAGAGCATTTAGATTTAAAACAGAAGACCTTTAGGTGATGTGGTGGAGGTAAACACTTCGGCAACATGGATTCTAAACTCTTCAGAGAGAGCTGGAGATGAGCGAACTTTCTAACAGCGAGCTGAAATGGATTGAAACTTTTGGAAATTGCATTTATTAACTTTCTTGCAGAGAGGTAGACGAGAAGGTTGATACCATTCTCATGTCTGTACATTAAGTATGGAACAAGCGCCAGTTGGTGATCAGAGTGGCTGAGCATAAAGACTGGAAGCAGGGTGGAACAGCTAGCCTGGCTCTTTCCAAAGGTGAAAAATATGCCTACTGTTATAGTATAGATACTGTTACAGCACGTAGCTCCTCCTTAATTCACACATTGATGCCATCTTAAAAATTCTGTTGGTGTACATATTAAAAAAACTAGATACAATGTGTTACTTAGTCAATTTTCGAGGGGCTGGTATGCATGGACAGAGCATGGCTGGCTCCACGGCTGATGCATGAATGGAATCAATCTTCTTTTATAACCCTCAACAAGAAAGCAAATAAGCATATTTCCCAAAAATGAGGACCTATTCTTTGAAGCCGGTGTAAGTTCGAACACAAAACATTAAGTCACTTTGGATTAACTTTACATTTGTGTTCACCCTACACTCATGCCCTCACTTTAAGCAATCCTATCAACATTTAGTCTAAGTCCTTAACCAGGACAGAAGCCACATCATGGCAGAGTCATCAGACAGAGGTTTGAACTCACTTTGTGCAGCTCCAAAGGCGTTGGGGACAGAATTCCCTGCATCTCCTCTTTGATTCGACGAGACTCCCACGTCCTCTCTGACACTCTCAATGACGCCTTGGGTTTGGGCTCGTGGTGCATGAGAGGAGATTGGTTATCTTGGTGGATGTGGGCCCCCTGGTGTAGGTGGGCCTCATGGTTGAAATGAATCTCCTGGTGCAGGTGGGCGTCTGGGTGGGATGAAAGGGTTGGTTTTTAAATAAGATTAATGCGTTATTTCAAAAAGCATGTAGTGAACAGCACTGCAACGTGCATGTACATAAAACTTTATTTAAATTATTTTCACACCCCCTGATTTTTTTCTTTTGTCAATCCTATATTCTGAGCTTGGGGAGACAGCCACCCTTGGATCTGTCACATTTGCCTTTGAATTACCTTGGTGGAGTTGGGCCTCTTCATGCAGGTGAGCCTCCTCGTGCAGATGGGCACCCTGGTGGAGGTGTGTACCTTGGTGGAGCGGGTTTCCCTGGTGCAGGAGAGAATTTCTCCGCAGTGGGCTCATTCTGCTGTGGCTCAGTATGGGCTCAGCTGGAGGCTTGTTGACACCATCTACACCCAGACTGATCGCTGTTCCTGTCATGATGGATGCCTGCACAAACCAGCACACACACACCTTCAGCTATTTCTACCACTACTATGTTAACAGTAGGTAATTGTAGGCCTATAGTTAGAAATCTGTAATAGGTATATATTGATCTTTCTGGCTGTGGAGGCTGAGTTTAGGTGTAAAAAAAAAAAAAGCCTATTTGTGAGCAATACTGATGGTAAAAGTGTAGCCAACATCAAGGTCTTATACTGTTTGGCTTTACCACTGTTAATTACTGTTAACTGTTCACAACAATTCAGTGGCTGAGGATGGTGTACTAACGGTTTTGAACTGTGATATGACTATTGTGTATATAAAGCTGGATATAGAGTTGCTGTGCATCAAGGGGTTATGCAGCAGCTACAGATTTGGATTATTTTCCTGTCTTTATTCAAGAGCGTGGTCTTTCAATTTGAGAGAATAAATTATTGAGTTCACGTTCCGATCCCCCAACCAATCATTGTCTGTTGACCAATGAAATGATCCCTGCCTCAGTGCAGGCGTGTTCGCTTGACTTCTTATAGCGTCCCGCACGGGGGACTGAATACTTAAAGTAATTAAGTCTTGCTCTCAAATTGAAAGGCCACATTCTTAAAAAAGATAGGAAAATAATCCCTATTTACATAGATGTATGAGAAAATGCAAAAAATATGTGTACACCTTCATTACTGTATATGAAAAAGTAAATGAAAGAATGCAAACACAGTTTCTGTGGGAATAGAAAGGATGATATGGCCTGAATACGTACGATAGATCCATCTAATGTTAAGGGGTGATACCAATGACTGAAGTTCGATGTTGAATTATAAATTAAAATCTAGGGCAGGACTGGAATTAACCTAGCTTAAGGAAGCCTGCGAATATCAATGGGTACGGCTTGAATCCATTTTTGATGCTATTGCTAATTTGTTTGTGGTAACTTTGATGTTCAACCATTTTGTCGAAGGATGCTAACGCTAATGACTGCAGTTTAGAGGTGGATGCTAACATGCTAACTGACCTCTATCTCTCTGAGTAGTTCTGATTGGCCGCAGGTCTCCAGATCCTCAAGCGCCTGACACCAGAAACTGTCCTCTGGATCCAACAAAATACCATCCGGTTGTTGGCCAATAAATCTGTCACACAAAACCACAAATTATATTAAATGAAGCTGCTTTGGAAACAAGTTATCCCACCCGGTTGCAGTGTCACTGATTACTAGAAAAAAAATCATATTGTAAGACACCAAAGAAGACAGACATACATGCTTGGAACACTTTTTGGGCTATTTCTTGATGTGTTTATTTTGTAAATTTTACTTTTTCTTTAGAACATGAAACTTTTTATTACCTTACAACAGTAACTTGACCAAGCAAGAGTCATCGTAATGTGAACACGTGTAATGTGGAAGAGTCTGCACATCAAGGCAGAAATTCCTACATGTATTAGCATAGAGGCAGCATCAACAAGGCCATTCGTTCTGGTTAAATCCAACATGAGTAATCTTTTAACACTGAATGTCCTTGACTGACAAGATTAATTCACTTTCACTGTGCAGTCAAATTTTTTTTCTTGCCATCGTTCCTCTATCTTTCCACCCCCGTTAGTGTTATATAACCTCAGTGAATGTTGCTGTCTTCACAAGGCTTAACCTCCTGACTCATCACTATACACACAGACACACAGATATTCATGACTAAACGTCCACACTGAAATTTCTATTTCACCACAAGCCCTTTTGGTGAAACTGGCACAGGCAACCAGAGAATCAAATTCAACCTTCTGTTTTAAAGCTAACATGCTTGTATGAAACAGAAAACGTAATTATAATGATATACTGAATATATATCTCTATACATATATATATATATATAGATAGATAGATAGATAGAGGCAGGAGGCAAACACCATCTCCACATTTAAGAGTAGGCTTAAGACTTTCCTCTTTAATTCAGCTTATAGTTTGGGCTGGCTCAGGTGAGTCCTGAACCATCCCTAAGTTAGGTTGCTATAGGCCTCTTTCCTCCTCTCTCTCCATCTGTATGCAACTGAGGAGTCTTGATCTGTGTTTATGAGTTGCCTGGTGCTACAATTGTTTTAACTAGTCCTGTTGTTATTATTATATATACTTTAATCATACACCATAATATATACCAACAAAAAAAACCTAAATTCAATCCTACCCAGGTGGTTTGTCCCAGTCATCCTCACTGAAGCCTCCATCACTAAAAGGGTAGTTCTTCCGGCGTCCAGGTGGAGGTGTGGTACTGCGCTGCTGCTTGGCACTACGCCACTCATGGGGGTGGAGGGCGATGCCAGCTGCCTGGTGGCTGTATGTACCTGCAGGAGGAGAGAAGCAACTTGACAAAGTGCTCATTTACAGATTGTTGCATTTGGGATATGGCCATCGCAGTGAATGGCCATGCTGGCCTTTCACCATCTATGTGTGTTAAATCAAAGCTTACCCTGGCTGCCATAGCCAGCATCCATCCCTGAGCCATCCCATGACTCCATGGCAGAGTCGACACTGGGTATGGTTGTGGAGTAAAGCTCTGACAGCTTATTGGTCTGTTGGCTGTCCGTCAGATCATCCTCCTCAGGGTCACTGAGCTCATTCTCTGTTGTGTCCTCTGCCTCTGCTGCCTTCCTCTCCTCCAAATCTTGGAGAGAAAACGTTGCAAAAAACTTTACAAAGTTATATACAGATTACAGTCAGGTAGGAAAAGTCTTATTGGAAAGGGTCATAAGAAAATTACAGGTTCAAGAAAATGTCCTGTGTTCCGGTAACGTAAGACACAGAGAATACAGAATAAAAAAAAATGAATAAATAAAATTGTGTTTAATCAAAACCATATTGATTAAGACAGATGGTTAGATTTGTGATGCAAATGCAAAGTTGTCATTAACAGTTTTCATACTTACTGTCGAGCTGTTTTTTAATCTTGAGGGTGACTGTCTCTCCAGCCATCTGCAGCAGGTGGATTGCTTCACTCAGGGGCTTGCCTTTTAAACTGACACTGTTGATAGCCAGGATCCGGTCACCTATGTGAATTGCCCCTGTCCTGGAAACACATTAAAATATATACACACACACACACACACACGATAATGTACAATTCAGTTCACAGTTTATATCTATAAAGGGACACAATGGCATCAATACTATCATTCTATCCAGAAAATTTGGTGGTGTTTATGCAGACAAATTCAGTTTTTTGTAATTTGTGTAAACTGACCCTTTGAAAAAGCCTGATTTTCTTAAAAACATTTTCCAACATTGAATCAAGACCATAGTATATCGTTAACCATATTGTATTTCCTTCAAAACACATCTGCAAGTGCAAATTAGCTGTAAACAAATCTAGTTTGTAGGACACAGTATTGGCATTAGGCTTCAGCACCGCAGTGAGGTCACCTCAGTGCTGTTACTGTTTACAGATCAGATTTGGGAATTAATTTAAAATTTTACTGTTTAAAAACAATGTATGTAAACAACCACATGATTAGGCAAGGGTCACAACAAGGTGACTCTGGAATGAATAGCTCCGGCTCCTTTTCATTGCTCTATCACTGGCCACTATAATAAATCTGGAGTAAAAAGTCCTTTATCTTGTGGCCTACTTTGATAGAGATATTATTTACACATACACTCATGGACCCACATATCACATGTACACGCTTGAAAAATATTTACTTAAGTGAGAAAGGTTTTCTTGACTTTGTATCTTCAGTTTCTATTTACCTGAGCTGGTTTAACAAAATCAAAGGACTCAAGTGGCTCAAAGTTAAAACTGGGTCAGTCTGAAAATTTTCCACAAGCCACACAGATCTAGTGATGTTGATATCATCTGTATTCTTGCACTTTCTTCTGTATCACACTGAGCCAAGTTTATTTATAGGGTGCTTTTAGTCAACAGATCTGAAGCAAAGTGCTTTATCGGCAACAGTTTAGGACAGGAAATAGAACAATTACATCACAAACTCCAAGAAACGGGGTCAAAGAGTGTGTGTATATAGAGGTGTGCCAGTAAGCTGCCTCTATGGGTGTGTTTTCGTGGAATAACACGTGAGTCGGTTATTAAAGGTGAAGATTTACTGTGAAATACTTCTTGTGTGGTGGAATGGATATAACCTCGATTCACCAGTACATGAGTATGACTCAGGAAAACCATTATGTCATCTTCTGTTCAGTCTCATTGAGAAACATGATGCGGCAGAGAGACGGTATAGCAGCTAGTGTCCACAGCCATATCTCATCTATCATCACTCCGTGTCACATGGCACCTGCAGCACATGCTGCTGGTGGGGATTCCTTCTATTTATTGCCCAATGCGTCTTCTATTCTTTCTCCTAATAAGGTTTTTACACCACCGATAGGGAGGACTAAATAAGGCAACATAAGTTGGTTCCTTCTTGGTCTCAGTTGGGTTTAAGTCTGCATGTGTTTCCTTGATAGCACAAACTCCTGAAAGATTATATCTATATTTTAAATCTTGGTATTGATCTTGAGCACACAAGATAATAAATACTCTATTCCAGACAAAGCTTTGTTTTAAATGGAATTGACAATTTAACTTTTATGTTTCTAACTCAGCAAGTATTCTCAAGGAATGAAAAAGACAAATGGTCATGACCCTGGATCTACAGTCATGACCTTTGCCACCAAAGGTTTATTATGACCACAGACTGTTCTCACTGTCAGGGACATTTCTTTTGTTTAACTATGGACTATGTGACTCCACCTATGCACATACATGTTTAGTCTATCATTTAGGAGTCTTATCCCACATTTGGTCATATTTAGGATTTGATGTTTCCAGACTCCTCTCAGGTGTGTATGACAGAGTGACTATTGCTTTTTTAACAGTTGATGCAAGCACTGGCATGAGGCAGACAGACTTTTTAAAACAGATTTGGTGTCTACGATGAATTGCAAAAAAATGTCTTTGAACTGATCAATACAAACAAAGACAAGGTATTTTTTTTCCAGAGATGTGACTAGATCCATCCATCACCTAATAAGACACAGTGAAACATGATATTGTGAGAAAGGTGGGACTACAGCCAACACAAATTTCCACAAACCAAAAAAGATGAACTGAGGGCTTTTAGGAATCTCACTTGTCGACTGGTAAATTCACGGTATTTTCTGCCAGCAGAAGTGGTTGATTGGCAAGGTGAGCTCATCTGCCCCACAAACAACAAAGTGTACACCCACATGATATCTCTTGTAACACCACAGTGGAGCTGCAGGTGAGCTGTTTCATTGTTGTGTAGGATGTTGTTCAGGCTCAAACGCTCACTGAATAGAGGCTTATGCTAGTTCATCACTACTGATGGTGCACAAAGAGAGGCACACTTTTAAAAGGCACATTTGGTGATTTCAATGGCCAGGACATGTTTATCATCCACAGATGCTGAACGTTTTATTGGAACTCTACTTTTTAATGTAATACAAATAAAATACCCCATGAAAATGATGTCAAAATATATCAAAGATTTTGTGTAATTTACCAATTATTGCTGTTTAAGCTGCCCTGTAATGTTTAACAGAAGCATGTGTTTTCTTGTAAACAAATAAAATGTATGTTTACATTCAGTGTTTCTCACCAAAATGCATTGTGTTCATCACACTTTGTTTACATCCATGTTTAATAGCTTGCAGCATTTTTCTTACTCAACTTTGTTGCCCATTTTAATGTTTCTTTGTGCAAACAGATTATGCAGCTGTTAAAAACAACAACAACATCTAAACAGTTTATATAGCACATTTAGTAGCCTTAGTTTTGGTTTAGTCTTTTTAATTTAATTTTGTAATTTTTTAAACCAAAATATTAAAATATGTGAAAACAGAACCATCCAAAAATCTCCAGCTGCCTTTCCTAATGCTTCAACTGGTAACTAGATTTGACGTTGTGTGAGCGTGTGGGGGTGTGTGTGTGTGTGTGTGTGTGTGTGTGAGAGAGCATATACCTCTCAGCCAGGCCTCTCTTGGTTAGGCCGGATATAGTGATGGGGTCAAAAGGCTCCTCGGTGCCTGAGATTGTGATACCCAGAGGGCCTCCATACCGCTTCAGCTCCACTGTGTAGATGATGCTGCCTGACGTCTCCTGCTCATCTGATACACACACACACACACGCATGCACGTGTTATTCTAATGTTTCAATTTCAAGGAGTAAATGATACTGCCTGACGTAAGTCGTTCACCTGACACACACACACACACACACACACACACACACTAACTAAAACACTATGTGATACTGCATCACATTACCTGTTCATTTGAAATGCACACACACACACACACACACACACACACACACACACACACACACACATATATTTCATTCCAGAAGTAGGTCAAACTTCCCAAGAAAACACTGGCGAGGAAGACACAGTTTCCATGGTAACTAAGGAGAAGACTGCCATGTCATCATGTAGCATGTAACACATAATCTCCGCATATCACCTCCTGTGTGTGTCTCTCGGTGTGATTATTCCCTCTGAGTCATAATCTATCATGATTATGCAATCCCTCCCTGTGTTTTTATGTGTTTATTTTACATTCCATCAAATCACACAGTGGAACTGGGTGACATTTCATTGCAACAACTTCAACAACAATGTGCTCATTTAATAAACTAGTCAAATCATACAAATTTAAGATGGTGGCTGTAAAATCTGTAACAAGTGGCACAAGGGTCTTTAGCTGGATTGAGGCTTTAAATGTTGTTCATAGCACATTAGACCACTACATCAACAGGATTATCTTTTCCTAAACATTTTCTCACTATACCCCAAATATTTCTTTGTTCTTTATGCAAGTTGTTGTTTCATTGTGGATGTAATTGTTCACTTTTCCAAGAGTTTCTGTTTCCCCCACTGTGATCAATAAAGATGCATCTTACAGTATTTTAGATCACCATTTTAAAGCTGCAGCAGGAGACCATTAGTTGTGGACAACAGCGCCACCTGGTGGTCAAACACGGTTAGTGCTTCTCCTTATACTGATGCTGATTTCAATGAACATCATTTAATCAAATAAAACAAATCTAAAAATTTGTTTCAACCAGAAACACATTTGTGCAGTGCAATGATCCCTCCCTCACATTATGGTTATCATGTTTAATGATCCACCTAAGACAGACTCAACTTCATCTTATGCATGCACACATACTGTATACCTGAGTTGTCTTCATCTTTGCGTATCTTTAGTTTGACCAGCTCCTCACACTGCTGCAGGATCTGCTCTGCATCATCTCTGGAACAATTCTCCAGTCTGATGTTGTCGATGGCCAACAGCTTATCACCAGGCTCCAGTGTTCCTGTTCTGAAAGAGAGTAAGGTGGAACCATGTACAATCAGTTCTGTCTTGGTTGTAATACAGCATCCTTTGTCTGAATTCTGCCAAACTGTACTTGCCGAACCTACGCTGTACTTAAAGCTAGGGAAGGCAATGTTGGAGAAAAAGCAAGAGACATCTAGATTTTTAAAATATCCACCATCCTCTCAGGCCTCACTCCAAAGCCACTCCCGCAAAACACATTTTCAAGCGCAATGACGCCACAGGCAGAATGACAGGCAGGTAGGCTTATTACAATCCTGCAACAGCTAGATAGCAGGTGTTTTTATATTTTTTTGTCATAGCATTTTATTTAATAATTGCTGTCGGGATGTAAAGAGAATTTCAACAAATATAACAAAAAAATGCTTTGGAAATAAACTAGCCCACCCTAGCTTTAACAGAGTGGAACCTAAGATGAAGATCTTTTCTGAGGCTGCACTTGTAATTAACAAGTATACTGAGAAAAAATTAGTACATATATAGTGAATTGTTATGATATTTTCTTAACTACAGAGTTGGACTTCAGGTACATTAGAAGACAGAGATTAATTGAGGCATGAGGAAAAAACCTACAGAAGAATATAATAGAATATACTCTGTAAGATACCTGTGGGCCATGCTGCCTTTCTTGATGTCCGAAATGATGAGGGGCTCTCCTAGCTTTTTGCTGGCTGTGGAGGGAAATCATATCACACAATGAAGGAACAACAACAACAACAAGAAAAAGTAAGTATATATAACATTGCTGTCAAATTGTTACTCATACTACTACTACTACAATTATTACTACTACTAATAATACTACTAACAACAACAACAACAATAATAATAAAAACAAACAAAAAATAAAATAATTATAACAGTCACATGACATTTTTAACAATGTATAGCGCAACATAAATAATGTCAGTAACAATAACATTTATTACATTATCAAGTTTTATTAGTTTTGAGATAATGGAAAGTAGGAGGTAAAATCTAATGATTTTTAAAAAATACTAACTTAAAACCATTTAGTTGCAACCTTCACAAGTCAAATACTCCTTAACAGACACCAAGACTGAGGAAGGCTGAACATATCTTGATAGCAACTGACAAAGAAATCATCATTTCTCATTTTAAATCTCTTTTATACTTTTATCGGGAGAAAAACAGTTCAGGTTGGCTGGTAACTTTGGGTCAAATCAATATTTTTTGGCTGTGTCCTTCTCAATTTCAGCTGTGAAACTTCTTCAGAAGATGGCGCCATTACACCATTCTCTGCCTCAGAGACTGCCACAGTACAGCTTCTATTCATATGGTAGCATTATGAAGTAAAACTGAAAACTCTCAGGTGTCAGACACTGATCAAACCTTATTCACAAATGTCATTTTCATTTTGATGTATACAAAAACTATACATAGGCCCCTGATGTATGGAGAGTGTTCTCTACATGGGGTATTTATACATTTATATACATTTTTTGAAGATGACTTTTTTCTTCTAAAATTAAACATATGAAGCTCAGTGTAAGTTCAACCAGGAAGACTATCTTTATGTTTTATTAATTCACAACTCTTCCTATATCAGGGGACTATGGGCACTCACTCTTTAGTTAAACCAACCAGATCAGCCAATCATGTAGTCACAGTCAAATTTCAAATATGTTCTCCTCTCTGCTGCTGTCAGCTGTCATTTCAGTGCGAAATCGTTGCAGCCCTGCTCCACCCCGTTAACCTCCAGTTCATCATGTTCAGGCACAGGTCGAGCTCATCAAAAGTCCACTCCTTATCACATCCAGATCTTAAGCATCCTCTTCATAAAATCACCAGACTCCATTGGGGTGGGTTTTTTTATAGTCTACCACTTAAAGCTTCATCACCCCCTTTAAATACCACAATTGGGTCTGATCTATTCATTGTGCACATGTCAATAAATGATTTGTTCAATCAGATGAAGTCCTCCTTTATCGGCTTTATTGAAAGCCTTTATTTAGCAAAGGGAGAGGTTACCCCATTCCTGAGCAGCCTCTAGTTTCACATTCCTATAGTTTAAAACATTTGTGCTTTACTGAAATTAAATAGAAACACTTTCATATTATCTCAGCCAGTCTAAGAATTCTGTTGAACAAAGTGCTTCTCAATCTTTGTAATACTTACTGATGTATTTATATGTCCCTACTCCAAATATTTTAAAGTATGCCAAGTTCAGCAGTCAACCTGCCACTGAGCTTATCCAACTTCAAAAAATACAGTTTATACTGGGACACTAAAGTATACAAGCATTCCAGTCTAAAAATAGTTAAAAATTGAATGTAGGTAATTCTGACTGAAGTCAGAGTGATCATGCTCTGGACAGCAACGCTAAAGCTTTACAGTGATGTATGTGATTAATGACTTTATCAGTCATCACGGTAAAGTCCTTTACTGGAAGAACAATTCCACAGCATTACATTGTTCTTCTCATTCCAAAAACATTGATAACAGCCTCCACTGTTCTGGGAAGACTTTCCATAAGATTTTAGAACCTGGTTGCAGGCATTTTCTCCAGTTTAGCTGTGTTAGCAAGGTTTGGCAATAAGGCCTGGCTTGTGGTGGGGTTGAAGTCAAGGCCCAGGTTGTGCAGGACAGTCAAAGTTCTGCAACTCCAAAGTGGTGGTTTGGTAATTCTTCACGGACCTGGCATTGTGCACCTGGCCTGGAGTCTTTTATATTGTCATGTAAAAAAAACAGAACAAGACCTTCCCCAAATAAAGCCATAAAGTAGGAAGAACAGTACTCTCTAGATTAAAAGTATCATTGAATGTTGTAGCATTAGGATTTACCTTAATTGTAACTAAGTGACAAAGACCAACCCATGACAAACTGGCTGTCGACATACATTGTAGTATAATGCCAGTGGCTTGTGGGCTATAGTGTCATCAGAGTGAAACACAGACTGTGAGTCTGTAGCCTGGAATCTATAACATTTTATAAACAGGCTACTCTGTTACCCTGAGAAATGCATGTGTGGTTGTGTGTGTGTTTTTGAAGAAGCGCAGGGTGGTCTTGTGACATTTAAACATTCTGCCAGCAGTCTGCAAAAACAAAACAAAGATCATAATGTTTGGTGTGTGTGTGGTCCTACCACTGATGGTGAGCCCCAGCTCCACTCCTCTTTTCTTCGGCAGTTTCACATGGAAAGTACCACTACTAGGCACCACTGACTCTGTGATACAAGCACACAGACACGCGCAGTATTAAACACATGCAGAGAAGCCATTAATATAAAAAAGCAACAAATAATTCTTTTCAACCCGCTTAACATTTGTAATTACAAGACATTTAGCTCTTGCGCTTATCTCCTCTGAATTGCTCTTCTCCGGGGCAAACAGTGACTTCAAATCCTTACTGTTGGCATGCATGAGTCATAATACTAATTCCACCAGTAAAACAACTCTACATCCAGGCATAAACATGACGACAAGCTGTGAGCAGGGCAACCACTTACGAATCCTTCAAACTCACCAAGAAGCTCTTTGACTGAAACTGCACACAGGATAGTCAAGTTATATAATAGTCTGAACAACAACAATGTCAACAATTTAGGAATGAACACTGTGGGCAATTAGCTGTCCATCAGATAGATTTCCTTGTGTATCAAAATTATTTAATTTGTGACAATGTTGTACATAACAAACAGTGGATGATAAACATATTCCATTCAGGGCAGCTTGATATATTTTGAAAGGCTTCAAGAGTAAAATTCTTAGGAATTGACTGCATCACCTTTTGGGGTTAATGGTTGGGAAAGAAATCTTTCTAATTTATCTTTAAATTAATTTATCTTTAAAAAGAATAAAAGCTAATTTCACAACTTGCTGGCTATGTTAACTCACTAAATGATGCAACATTATGAAAGGCAACATCAAAAACAGTGGAAAAACATGATTTGTTACTGCAGAGAGCTACACAAAAATCTCCCATAATTTTATCACAAAGGAAAAGTTTTGATTTAAATAATTTAGTTAACAAAACAAACTATCACAGGTCAAGACAAAACATAGGGGTTTGTATTGATTTAATCAAAATTTGAATGATAACATCACAGTCAGTGTTTGTTTCAGTAAACAGTCCCAAAGTTCTCAGTAATTTAAAGTAAATTATATCTTAGCAGCATATCATGTTGTATTGAAGAGATAAAATCACGTTAAAATGTCCCTTAATCAAAACTAGTATCAATTTGTATGTTTAAGTGTACCCACGACAGAGATTTTTTCTAATCCCTTGGTGTAAAATAGCTTAATTTAAAAGATGAATGCACATTGTTTTCTTAACTTCATACTCAATTGTGAAGTTAATTGTTTTAGCAATTTATTTTGTAGTGCACATGCCTCATTCTGCCGTCACATTTTCTCTTAGAAAAATCATCCAAAAGTTAGAAGTAAAGTAAAAGTAATCAAAAACAACAGACTGCTCCTTCCTACAGATGCCACCCATTAAATACATGAAATAATAACAAACCCCAGATTCACTTCAAAACAAATAAACAACACATATCAGTTTCAAGGATTGATTAAAGCTTCATGTGTGAATATATTACAGAATGCAATTTGAAGTGACTTTTCTTCAACATATAAATCAGAACTCATCACACAGCTTTGTACTTGTAGGGTTTCAGTGTAGTTGTTACATATACAAGCATGTAGATGGGGCCATGCTCTGCAGTGAAAAGCTCTAATTATTCTGTCCACCCCTGCCTGTACTGAAACAAAAGCTCCCAACAGCTGTGTTTGACCAGTTCATCCTGTCTTTGCAAATCGTGCTAAAAGCTTGCTAATAAAGAATATACAGCACTTAACAGATCTCTGCTCTCTTTCATTATATTATAAATGTTTTAAACCCTCATAGGGATAGAGCAAAGAAGTGCAAAACCCCCAAAACAACAGGTGTTGTAAAAACACAATGTACAAATGTTATTTAAGAGCTATAATAAAGTCACACAGTCATAATAGAAAGCAGTAGACCAGCTCATTATAGTAGAAATCGAGTGATAATACATCATGGTGTATTGATACAAGAGACAGAAATCTGAGAATGTGGTAAACCTTTTGTTAACTTCACAAACCTGCTACGTCGAATTCTATCTCCAATGTGACTTTATTGGTCAATGCCGCATCTCGGAGAAGCTGATTAGCCTCCTCTAGCGTGCCATCTTCTGTGGGGATTCCATTGATTGACAGGAGGCGGTCTCCAACCTGCAGCAGGCCACACCTACAACAGCAGTTACCATGGTCTTTACAAGTTACCAAGTCTTTTCAACTTCTTAGTTAGTAACCTTTGTTGTCTAAAAAATGTCTGTGCTGGTTAACCAGCAGGGCTCTTGGGCTTGTGGAAAATGTTTCTCACATTAGCCTTGTAAAAGTTAAAAATTTTCATTGAGGTCTTCACTATTTTCACTTTTGCTTTCTATAGGCAGGTTAGAGGTTTTGTTAAAGCAACATCGTTTCTGGTTTGTGATCAGTTTTGGGTATTACAATTTAAATTAATCTAAGCTCTTTAAAACACCTTAGTCTTAGAGGTAAAACTAGTACTGTTAAGGTTTGTGAAGCCATTAACAGAGTGGTTTAAGAAGGACCCCTCTCCAGTTATTTCAGTCTGAACAACCCATACAGATTCCTCAAATTAGAGGGAGACGAAGATTTCTAAAAACATCATGACACTAACATCAGCTTCTTTCTCAAGTGTGTACATAAAATATCTCCTGAAATAAAACATGATGGTGTAGCTATTTTCTGTGCCTATTTAGATATGATTACCCCCAGGGTTAAAATGCTCCCAAAGGGGAAAGAAACACTCAACCACGTAGGTGTACTAATCGTCAGCAGCCCCCTACCTAAGATGTATTTTCCTTTAATTAATCTTAACGTAGAAAGATGATACCAGAAGATGCTGTGTTACATATCATATTATTTTTAACTACTGTAGCTTGCAATGCTGCTGTTTGGATAATAAATATTTCTGTTTCCAAAATATCCCCCATTTAGAAATGCCCAAACCTGGCTCCTCACTACACAAATCAGTGCTGGAATGAAAGTAAAGCACATTAGCACTAATTAAAGGAAATAGCTTTCCTTGGCAAAATAGAGGGCAGGAGTCATTCTGTCTTTTGAGATATTGGCCTGTGAATTCAAGTAAATTTTGAAGCAAAGCCCCTCATGTGTTATTTGGAAATTTGACTGCATTTCAAGTCGCTCCAGCTACACTAGGCGCTACTTGTCTCAAACCCATAACCCCTCTGCTGCTAACTTACCTGCGTAAACAAGCTTAGAATCACCAGACAGACAAAGAACAGTATATTGTCCTTGCAATGACTTCAGAAAGATTATAGCATGGTGGAATCTATGCTACACCTACCCTCTGCACTGTTCCCTGCACCCACTGAGAGCCCTCAGTGCTATAATGAATAATGGGAACAAGTGAACAATGTGCTTCTAACTGCAGCAGCTTTTCTTTTCGTATGGCTCAAGGGTCAAATATCATGACCGTGGTTTAGAATTCGTACACTGAACTGAAATAACAGCCATATTATTAAATGCTACAAAATTATTACAGTAGTTCTGCTCTGAATTCTGACTGGAGAAAATTTAGATGAAGTGATTTGTCTCACTTAAACTAGGCTTTATGCAGTTACTGCCCTTTGAATTTGCAGGGCAGTCTGAATGTGACACACACACACGCACACACACAGCTGATATATCCTCTATTAAGCCAGGAGTGGGTGACCTGTATTAATACACAGTCAGACATCTTCATTATGATCTACTGAGGATTAAACGGCCTGCCAAGACTATCGTCCCTGTCTCACTGTCACCTCTATTTCCCATTTTTTCTTACAAGTAAATATCTCTCTCTACTTCTTTCCTTTCTTGGTCTAATTTGTCTTCCATTCTTTCATTATGTACAGTTTGAAGAATAAACTTTTAAAGTCCCTCTCCCTCCCAACTGTTGTACTGGTTCATCTTATCCTCTACTCTTAATTTCTTTTATTCTGTCCTTCACTCATCTGTGTCTTACAAAGTATTTACACTAGATATGGCTCTTGGTTTGTCTTGCATCATCAGAACTGCAAGACTGAGTTTCCGCAGCTGTGTTGTAATGCTGGCAGTTTTACAGTAAAAGTGGAAGGCAATTATGCCGTTATGCCTCCTGGTGGTTTTTGGTATACACAGCAACTATTGGCAGTTAGAATTAGAATGCAAATGATCAGTGGCTCACTGCTGGTTTAGTAATATTACACTACACCATATTCATTGTGGGGCAAATGGGCCAAATGAAAACAGCAACGAGTGCAGTATAATTAACTTGTTTTGAATAAAACATTAGAATTAAAATTTGTAATGAGTAGTACTGTTTTATGGAGACTACTACAATATACACATATAAAATTGTACTAAATAGCATTTATAGAACAACTTCCAGCAGCTCTAATCCAGGAAAACTGCAGGTTAAAACCTTAAAAGAGGATGTCCTCGCTGGTCATCGTGGCACAAGATAGTTTAGGTTTTAAAGACTGTAAGTTGTGTTTAAGTGTAATTCAGGGTAGTGTGAAGGGGTTATTTGGATTCACCCTGTCAAGTGCGAAGGAAGGTACTTATCGATTCCTCCAGCGTGGGTGAGGGGAAACTAACTAATTAGTGTTGTTAGCGTGGGCGCTAATGGAGAAGGGAGTGTGGCCTCTGGGTGCAGAAACACACCCAGCACTTAGAGAAGCTGTTAATACAACAATGTCAATCTGTAGAGACACACACACACACACACACACAGCAGACACAACTGAGAATTTATACAGAGACACTTAAATGAAGTTGCGAACACATATGTGTGAAATAAAGAACATCAAAAAATGCAAACACACAGGATTGTGAACACACACAAACTCCACCTACATTCATGCACATACAGTTAATGTTTAAAAATGTTCATACTCCCACACATCACACACAGCCAAGCACAGCTGTTAATACATCAGTCTCACAAACACACATACGCACAAACACTAACATTCAAATACACAGTACGGCTAAGTAAAGCTGCTAATGCAGCATTAAAGTCAGCATATGTCCTCATACACAAAGGCATCCGTTTAGCTGTTCTACAACATCTTGCTTATCACACACACACAAATATGCTGTTACAGCATTTACAAATAAAACACATACAAGTTACTACTTGTTACTACTTTACTGTCGTTCCTAGTAGTACACTACAGTATTCAAGCAGAATATTGTACATCAGTGTGATTTCAGGTTCTGTGATTTTAACAGTACTATTTATAATCTTTGCAATTTTAGTAATCTACTAAGCTTCCTCTCTTCAGTCTTCCTTTGAGCCAGGTGGAAAGGCTATACATAAAAATAATAACATAAAAATGTCATGTGCAGTTTTTCCAGGTGTGAATTTGTTTGCTCACCTCTCTGCAGAGCTGTCGGGCTCTATGAATCGGATAAGTGGGGGTGCAGACAGTGTTTCGGTGGCAAATATTCCTCCCTGCAGCTGGACACCAAAGCCGTTGAGGGGGTCACCTGTTAGGATGATCTCACTGGTCTCTACATGAACTACCTGACCACCAGGGCCCACTGAACTGGATGCCAGGGACACTAAACACACACAGATACACATGTGAGATAGATGTTTTTCCCTTCACAACAATTTTACTATTGTACAGACAGAGCTTACAGGAGCTTTTGTGCTCTTTCTTCCTCTGCCGTCGTTTGAGCAGTGAGTTACGTGGACTCATGGGAACTGTAGGCCTGGGCAAGGTGCTGGAGCTCTGGCTACTTGGGCCCGATGTAGTCGTAGAGCCGGGAGAGAAACTGGCAGATACCAGAGCTACAAAAAAAGAGAGAGAAAAGAAAGATGATGTCCATTGTTCCCTTACTTCATTTATTCCTCAATCCCTATCTTTGTGTCCATGTATTGCAAAAAAGAAAGAAAGACGTAATTTAGAAAGAAAGAAAGCCTGACAGACAGACACATTTGTCTTGTCACTGTGTCTGTTCTTACACTTGCAGTAGTCGAGGCTGTTGATAGTGTTATTATTTGAGGCTGTCCACGACTTGTTGAGGGTGGAGCTTGTGTTACAGAGGGTGGAGTTTGGAGGATGACAGTAGTTCACACAGGGGTCCCAGGAGTGGGGGTGATCAGACTTCTGAACCTTCACTGGAACACACACAAATGATTTGTTACTTGTGAGGACAGGGTTTTGACTTACATTAATTCCCTAGAAGCTTACCCCATCCCTTAACATGTGTTAACATATCTAACACTCTACAGTTATTACAACTTTATAGGTGCACAGTTTGTAAACAAACAAACATTCAGTGTGTGAATCTTTTAAGTCTACCAAACGTGTTGAAGCTTGCTATGCTTATTTGTACCTTACTGTGCTGGTAGCTTCATTTTGTTATCTTTGGACGGAAGTTTGCCCCTGTTTCTGGTCTTTGTACTAAGCTAAGACAGCTTGCTAATAGCATCAGATGTGAGTGGTGTCAATTTTTTCATCTAACTCCCAGCAAGAAAGCAAAGATACTTCTTTCTTAAAATGTCAAACTTTTCTTTTATATGTAATAACGTGATCATATCTCTGTCTTCTATTAGTGAGGGATTGGATGACAACCAGAAGAAGTGCCTGGGACAGCAATAACAAACTAAGTTAGCTCACCATTAGCTATGTGATGGGAACTCTGACTTGGCACTATACATGTTTTGAGATGGACATGGCTCTGTTCCACCTCCTTTAATAAAATGCGCCTGACCTCATTACTAAGGGGGTACTGATAAGGCTCAGAACTTTTCAGATTGTTCAGCACTTTACCATTGAAAGCAACAGACTCAATAAAGTAGCTAAATATGCTACTATATGTTATCTGATGCAACTTCATCAGGTCATGCACCAATCCCTGGTATGATCATATTATTTAAGATGTGACAGGCTGTGTTCCCTCTTCATTAATTTCCTCAAAATCTCTAAGAAAAGGGAAGACAACGAACATTGTAGACACCAGTTCACTGAAAGGAATAACTGGAAGCTGCCCATAATTCAAGAAAGGTATCATGGAGCTAGGATCATTCTAGCTCATTCTATTGTCACTTAATTAGATTTGCCTGATTAAAAATGCAGACATGCAGGTGGACTGGTTAATAGTCACTCTTCATCAGATGTTGGGGAGAACCTCTTCTTGGGAAACTCCCACTGAGAGCATCAGCATACGATCAAGGCTCAAGTCTCACAACCCACACAGCTTCATGTGTAATTCCTCACTACACAGACTTAGCTCAACTGTGACGTTGATCCTAAGCTGGCCTGTGCTGCCACATCCATCCAGCAGAGCTTTTGTTTCCCCGACATGTGAGTCTTCTTATCTAAACCGCTGTGTTGGCGGGAGGTCTGAGGAGCATAAGTATTGGGCGGCCTCAGGGTGAGATCTGAGAAAAATTTTCCTGTCTAATCCTTCCTGAGTGAAAGTAAAGTTATTACGTCCAGAGACAACGCACATACACACTTATGCTCACTTACACAACTTACATAAGTAAATATACATAAATACACACAGAAGAAGTGAATAGTGTGTGTACACAAACTTATGTCCAGACTCACCAACATAATCTAAACTGGAAAAACACCACACCACACCCTGAAACACAATCAAATTCATACACACACATACACACACAACTGCAAAACTTTTAATCAGTCTATTAATAAAGCAGCGGCAGGCTGGCCACAAGGTCTCCTGCAAGGCCATCAGTGTCCTAATGAGCTGTGTTCAACACACACAAATGCATGCATATACACACAAAGGCGGCTACACAATCGTGATTAGAAGAATGAACATATTAATTTTGCTTCGTAGAGACAAATGAAGGAGATGCGAGATGAGATGCCGACCTTCTGACTGTGTGTGCGGTCCGTTAACACGTGTAGCTTGTAGTACTTTCTTAAAATGAACTTTATTGTTCTTTGTCACTTCAACATTGATTAGAATAGAATGCAATTTAATGGTAGGAGGAAAAGAGGGAAGAGGAAAAAAGAAAAGATGAGATGAGTAGATAAAGGGAGACAAGAGGGATGTATAGAATTGAAAAGCAGGAAGAAGTGGAGATGGAGAAAAAAGGAAGACAAGAGGAAGAGGAATAGAGGATAAAAGGGACAGAGATGAAACAAAATACGAGAAGAGGAGGAGGAGAGGAGAGGAGGTGTCAGGCTGTAAGCAGTGTCTGACAACATGCAAGAGAGGTGTAATGACTTTAATTAAATAGCATCCTGCCTTTACACTCCCTGTCACTCAGTTCTCATTCATTCGTCACTTCTCTTTTCAACTTTCTCTCTTTCTGCCCTTTTCATGCTGAGATGAAACACTCACCCCACACGAATTCTATAGATAGATAGTAAACCTGAGGCCCAGGTTTTAGTCTATTTCAGTCTAGAATTTCTAGAATTGGTCTTTTATTTCGTGTCTATTAGCCTATTTTTTAATTCCGCCTTTCTCAACCTCTCTCACGAGTCTCTAATCAGATCAAAGAACAAGGCATCATTAAGAAACACACAAACAGATTTTTCCCAACAACCAGGAAAAATAATTCACGTTTGTCTGACTTAAGTGACTACATTACAGGCAGCTTTATCACGGGTTCTACATGTGAGTGAACTTGTGTACACACTGCATCCAGCCATGTATTTCTATGTGTGCACACATGTCTCTGTATGGGTGTGCACTCTTGTCACACTTAAACCCCTCAGCTGTGAAGCATTAACCTGGGATAATAAAGCAGCCGTTGGAATCAGCGTTTCCCCTATAAATCCACTGGCACTAATTCTCCCGCAGATGAAAAGCCATCACTTGGCTACGGGTGAAGAAATACTCCTACAACTAATTAAGCTCAAAGTTGCTGTTGCAGCCAAATATTCCACAATTGTTGTTCTGCGAGAGAAGATGGCGTGCAGAAAGACACTGGGATGAGTGGAATTTTTTTCCCTCTCTGATCTGCTAAATTTGTGTTAGGCGACTTAATTGTGGCTAAATCCTACCAAAATCTTTGTTGCAAGTTTTTAATTTGCCCTAATTCTGGGTCTCTGTTTATCTAAAATAACTGCTGAGGAAGGTGTAATGACATGAAGCTCAGGAATTTAAATACATACTCTTAACTATCTACTGTCTTGGTCATTTGTTTTTTTACTAGTGCTAGCAATTGTTATGCTGAGTACTGCAAACATTGCCATCCAAAGCTAGGAATATTCAGTGTCTTTCATTCACTTCATTACAAAGAGCTCTTGCTCTCTGATAAGTACAGTAATAGTTCACCTTTGTTTAACTTGCTCACAACATCCAGTGTCCCCATTTTTATCACCTAAATCCAACAAAGATTTTTATTCACAGACCTAACGCAGTTCGCTAATTGTTAAGAATAAATGTCACGAGCACCACACAACATAACATCTCAGGCAGACTTCATATATTCACATTCTATATACGGTAGCAATGACTTCCCTTAGTTGTTGTTTTAATGTTTGTGCAGCTACTGTGTTCTGCATTAGCAATACTTATTTTTCAGCTGAATGACATGAATATATTTTCTCTTAAACAACATCTTAACAGAACTGTCATTTAAAACCTCCAGTGGCTAAAAAGATTAAATTGATTAAAAGGTTAATAAGAAGCAGGCTGTGAATAGAACTATAAACTTTGCTGGCTACAGACCCCACTGTGAGCAAACCAGACATGTAGACACACACACACACACAGAGCCTGTGGTGGTCTAGGGCTGGCTGTGAAAACCAGACTGACAGCCAAAAGCTTCAATCTCATCAAGAGATTATTATACTCATTAACTTCAAGACCAGGCACAGACACACTTACATACACACAAATACAAAAATATAAAGAAATAATATTTTCTCTGTTTCTCCCTCGCTCTCTCTCTCTTCCAAACACGTGCACACACACACACACACACACACACACACACACACCTGACCTCTAAATCACTTTAGTAGCAAACAAGAGTAAAATGTATTTACTTCACAGCTGTGTCATCACATATCTGACATAACATGATCAAACAGAGTTAACAGCTGGAGGACAACACAAGGTGTAAAAGAAAAACATGATTTGAATTTGGCACATACCTAAACACACACCATCTGGTTGACAACAGTGTAGACAATATAAAATAGCAGGATAAAAGAATGTGTTCATGAGTGATTGAAGGATAATTATTGCATTTTTTAAAATTCATGCCATGATGAGACTTTGTTTTCTTGTTTCGTTTAATTAAGTGTATTCATGTAAGTTCTGCATCACATTGATCTGCTTACTGTCACACAGCTGGCAACCACAAGACAATATGGATGTCTCCTCCATGGAGGAAATAATAAACAGAAATAATCCTAGAATAACACTTCACTTTAGTAAAGATAAGTAACAGTAAAGTAAATGTTTAAAAGACACTTGGAAAATTGCTGTCCAAGCTGAGAAATAAATTGGCAGTAACTCTCAATAACAGTTTCCCCTGTCACTATAATGTATATAATAGTGGTTTAGCCAGTCATACTGCAATATATTAGAAATCTAAGAAAATCATTTCAACAGTGAATCACACACATCATTTACAAACGCTATGAGTCTTTACTGCAGCCTGTGGCTCATTTGCTGCATGTGATCCCCTCTGTCTTTCCTGCTTTGCCTGTCTCTCTTTGGCTGTCCTATAAAGGCAAAATCACCCAAAGAAATAATTTTTGGTAGACCCACCTGTGTCATGCTGTTTCCCAGTTAGCCTCGTTTGATGGGAGGGGAGTATTTCTAATTTCACCAGTTCTGTTGTGCTTGCTAATAGCTGTGTTGCCTCCAGGACCGTACAGTGTTCTGTAGATGTCCCGTCTATGGACAGCAGATGATCTCCAGCATGCAATGCTCCACATCTGGAGATACACAGAGACAGGGAGAATAAGGAAGGAATCTTACCACAACACATCTCAGGAGACAGAAATAGAGTACAAATGATTTCTAAGCTGTTTCAGAAATACTATGCTTTGTTTTTGCTGTGTTTGAAAACCGTACGTACGCTATACACGTTAGCCTGATAAGTTAAGAACAGCATGCTGCAGAGCTGGTCAACCTGGTGTCTCTGCATTTCATACTGTGGTTTAAATTTGCAACCATGTGGGACAGATTAGAGACAGAACGTGGACCTCCAATGTCAACCTGTTCAGTTGGGGTCATTTTAGAGCTAGTTTCAGGACTCACAGTGCTGAAATGCACAGTTCAAGTGCATTATGTATACTTCATAGCCAGGGAAATATCCTGTCTCCTACTGTCTGTGTTAGTTGTATGGCTGGACACAGCCTATGTGTGTGTGTCTGTGTGTGTGTGTGTCTATGGATGTCTTAGAGACAGGGAGAGAATACATCGCACATATATGCAACTTGAATATAACAAACACACACACGCTTACCGTTTTATTTATTTATTTTTTTAACACACACACACACACACACACGCTTACTGTTTTATTTATTTATTTTATTTTTAATATATATATTTTAACACACACACACACACACACACACACTTACTGTTTTATTTATTTATTTTATTTTAATTTTCAATATTTCTTCTTTTTTTTAACACAAACACACATACGCTTTGATTACTTTACGCTTTAATTACTTGTTTAATGAAATGTATGATGTTGACTGTTCTTATGTTGTATGTATGATACTTTGGCAATATTGTTGTTACACATTCATGCCAATAAAGCTGAACCAACCAACTGAATAGGTTTGGTTTCATAAGTGGGAAGGGACATTATGAAGTCAGTGGATGTTCAACCAAAAAACTGAATGAATGTAAATGCTATTTCTTGCATTCATAGACATTTATATCAATCTAGCAAATAACACATCACCTTGATTATTGTGCTTTACATAATTATGGTCTAACAACACATATACAGTAACACTACTTTTAATCACATTTACTTTCATTGCATCATATTAATTATATTTGCAACATATGCATCTTTCCTAAAAATAGCACTATCCTGTACTACCTTACCTCTGCTTGATGGTCAATTCCAGTTTGGCTTTACAAGAATATAATAATTACACATTGTCATCTAAGAATCAATAGAGTTTTATATTTTTCTTTTAGTCCTGAGTAATATCTGCAGGTCTTCCTCTCAGGATGAATAATGCCACAAGAGCCTGAGAGGTGAGACCCAGAAAAAAAAAAAAAAAAACAGTCCATAGAGTCAATTTGCCTTAGACCGCGTGGTCCATGTGTGCAAACAGCATGTGTAAGAGTGTGTGTGTTTACCTGTCCACCACGCTGCCAGGCTTAACCCGGTCGATGACAATAACCTGCTTGTTTCGATGATTGGCTGAAGTCAGTGTGATACCCAGCATTGCTCCTGGCGACTTGGCAATTTCCACTAGTAGTGGACCGGAGGCGTTCGTTACTGTGTCTGATTGGGGAAAATTGTTTTTCATTTTAATAATTTTGCTCTCTGCTGTGATCTGATGCTCCTGTGCATATGAAAAAACAGCGACATAGCAGCATATATTTCAATTTCTGTATGGCCAACATTACAGTAAGTAGCCTAGCAGCTGAGCTTGGGGCAAAAATGCCCTTGAAAGCAACAACCACCAGATGTGATAACCAGGGGATTCTTTGCAATGGATTCTGGGTAACTCAAATTGAGCAGTTTTACAAAGAAAAAAAGCAGAGCTCAGCCTGTGGCAGCAGAAAATGCCAACACATCAACAAAAAACACAACATTCAATTTTTAATTTCAGTGGCATTTTAGTAGTCTAGCAATGTTCGCCCCAAGCTTTAATTCATGTCTGAGTCTGGTGTGTGTGTGTGTGTGTGTGTGTGTGTGTGTGTGTAGTCTCACCCATGATAGTGACATCATACTCTATCTGGAACAGAGCTTCCTGGCCACACTGAGCCAACATGCTGAGGGCCTCGCTGTGGTTGGCGTTGTGCAGCGGTACACCATCCACACTAAGGAGACGGTCACCAGGACGCAGGGTGCCCTCTCTGAACACACACACACACACACACACACAAAAAGGCAACATCAGATGATAAAATGCAGTGATTAGAGAAGAGATGAGAAGACAGAAACACAGTCAACAAAAAAAATGGAGACAAAAAACCTACAACAAACAATCAAGTCTGTAAAGAGTCTGAAAATTCAATTTTTATATTTCTCTTTACCTCCTGCATCATTTCATCATTTACTTTCTCTAACTCGCAAGTCATCAATTTGTTCTCTTCTTGAAAACACCTTTAACTAATTAATATCCTCTTGTATTAATGCAATCCCTTTGTATTCTTGGGTAAAGGCCATTGTTGCACTATATGACACAACATACACTGACAAAAAATGACAAAACCATCTTGAACTACAAAAAAACAATTTCAATCATGGCAAGAAAAAGCAACACTTTTCAACAATTCCGTTTCTAATCATCTGCACTTTCTGTCCCTTCCTCTTTTCCCTTTTTCTCTTTCTGAAAAACCCTCTATTTCCTCTCTTAATTTCTTCTTTTCTTGAATCCTTACTTCCAAACATTGTTTTCTTTTACTCTCTTACTTCTTCATCTTACTTATTTTGTTTCTGTCCTACTTGTTCCATGTATCTTCTCCTACCTCAACTGCTCTCTGCCTTTTCCTCTTTTCTTCTCGCCTCTCATCTGTCTGAGACTGACTGAAAGAATAATTTCTCCTCGAGTTTAAATGGAGGACAAACACAGTGGAAACAGCAATAGCATGACAGATGACAGATACTTCTGTGCTTCCCAGTGTTCAAAATATCAAGATTAAACATCATGTCATGTGATCTGGTTTCATTTAAATCATGGTAAATTTCAAAAAATCCCTGGTTGACAAAAACACTTTCAAAGAATGAATGTTTAGCATTCTAGAGGCACTCAGTGGCACATTTCAGGCAATTATTTATTTCTCTAAAAATGGATAGGCAGCATTTGGATTTTTTCATGCAGAGGGCTGCATTAAAGAGCAGATAGATGCTTTATGCATGATATCGGAGCGTGAGTAATACAGAGCTGTCATTATACCAGGCTGAAGTTGTAAAGTATGATGCTGACAGGCCAGGAGCTTTTTAACAACTTGATCTTTTTAACAATTTGATTTCTACAAAACTGAAACAAAAAGGTCTGCCCTTGGATTTACCTGAGAAACCGGTGGACAATAGTGATAGTACCTTTCACCAATAAATAAAAAAACATACTCCAAACAAACATGTTCATTGGACTCTGGTCATATTTTGAATATCTTGTTACACTCCTATTTTGAGGAACACCAAAAGCTGATGTCTGTTTGATGAGTTTTCCACACACAAAAAATACATAAAAAATTTACACCACTCAGCTGTTATTTCAGGAGTTAGAGGTTGATTTAACTGTGTAAGTGGTGAAAGGTTAAATAAAGTCTTGAAGGCTTCCCTGACATTTAGCCTGCTTTCAGACCTGGAGGCTCTATATGTGTCTTTTCTTTCTATTTCTTCTATTGATAAAACCAGATGGCTCTCTAACACTTTCAGAGTTGGCACTTTAATTCTCACTGGGTAATGCCAGAAATGAAGGCACTCCTGGGACTGTATGGTGCTGTGGATTAAGTCTTCTCCAATTGGCATATAAATGGAATATAATGCAGCATGAATATCTCATTCGTTTCCCCTGGACTGACCCACATTTTGGAGATGATTTTCTTTAGAATGGTGTTAAATGAGCTTCAGGGCAAAATAACTCAACAGTAAGATAGAATTTAATCTTGGTCTTGTCCCAGTCTGTCAATCTATGTGTGCACCTATGGAGGATCAACTAGAATAAGGCCATGCCTAATGTAAAAACAATTCAGGTTGATCTGCAATCAGTTTTTAAAAAAACAGTATTTCCATAAGCCCTAAAGATCTGTCAAAGATCGCTGACAAGTATTCATTCATTCACTTATTCAGTAGAAACATAACTGCTATGTTTCATGCAGTTAGTCTGCATGTGTCCTACTTTATTGCTGCATGCAATTATTTCACAGATAGTTGCCACGAGAATATAAATAGCATCTCCAGTTCTAAAGTCTGATGTTAACTGATTGAAGCTGCTGAGTGATCAGAGAAGGGAGTTGCCTTATTTGCCTTTCTTGGCTGAAATAAAATTAGTAAAGTATGCTGTTTAAACTTTATTCGAGATTTGTGTAATAGTAATACGGGTGAAGATGGGTGAAAAAGGAATAAAAAAACTTGTAATAGATTATCCTAGTCTGTTGAACTTTACTAGAGGTATAAACATATAACTCACATATTTGTTTTGATGATGGTGGAGGGGAGCAGTGTTTCACATGTCACTCCATGATATATGTAATTTTCCTACTCAACCAATTCAGTGAGCCCTTGTGCCTGCAAATTCATGTGCCTTCATTCATGTTCTTCCTTGAATTTGTCACTTGCCTGTATGTTTTTTATGATGTTGGGTTAAGTTAATTCTTATGGTGGTTTTCATCCTGCATTATTAATTGCATTTCGTGACTCAGCTTGTTTTTAAATTAATTAATGACATTCAGTTGTCATTGTTGCATTGATTACAAAAAAGGTACCTTCTTTGGGTTTCCAGCAACTTCATATGGCCTATTATACTCATCAAACAGGAAGTGGGAGAAGCCAGTCTGTGTTCATGCCTACCACCTGGGATCCCCACTAAATGTTTGTATTTTTAATTTTTAATTATATAATAGACTTATTTCTTCCTGTGTCTACAACCTGTGTTCGGCATTGGAGCTAATGTTACTGCATTTTGCAGGCTGTCAACTTTTTGCCTAAGAATATGAGGTTTGTATTTCTCTAGATGGCACTAATTTCTCTGTATGTTAAATCCACCACACAAGCTATATACACACCTTTTTGCATCATAGTAACTTATTCTATCCAGGAGGATTTTGAACAGTGTAAAAGTGTAAGAATTCATGCACTGGATATCTACAGAAGGTTGAATCACTGCTGCCTTACATCAGTTAAACTGTTGTAAAGCTGACATTTATATGAAAATGTCATGGATTATTACTTAAACATGAAGACTGAGACAGATGCATGATGACAACATTAAAGGGATATGAGATGATTCATGCCGCCGCTGCTATGAGTAACACATAACTGTCAACATACCAGTGATGGTCACAGGAAATGACACCTTCATCCTTGGGGTTTTTTTGCATGAAGGCACAGAACAATCTCTCCGACTCTAACTGGCCGAGCTTTGCTGCTGTTTTAAAATTCATTAGAGGCCAGTGTTCATCTGGCTTTTATTTTTCATAGACTTTTTTTGGAAGTCATTGCCCTTTTCACCACTAAAAGACATACGTGATCCCTCTCTCTGGCTTTGGCTGTATATGTGTTTCTATGTTTGCTTGGATATGTCTCGCACACTGCATGTGTGTGGAAATGTTTCTGTTAGTATGCATGTGTGTGACACCTTTGCATATGTGGCTGCAGTGCAGCATATATGGGTTTATGGTTGCATGAGGGTGCAGTCAGTGCTACCTGTCTGCAGGACCTCCTGGCCTGACATAGGTGACCACTAGGGGACGTGACTTGTGCCAGTCTTCGTGGGTACCACCTGCAAAAAGAGTATAGGATAAAGTTGATCACATGGACTCATATGACTACAAACTGTCAGTTACAGAAACTTGCTTTATATAGGTAATCCATCAGAGTGAGGATTTATTTTGTATTTTACTCAAAAAGATGTATCCATTGTAGCACAGTTTCCAAATGGGATTGTTGAAACTCTCATTTAATAAAATCCTGACATCTGACGTTAAAGTGTCTGCTTCCTGGAAGGCAGCGAATCAATTTAAATGGTTAGTGTATCTTTCAGAAGTGTTCAGCAGAAATGTAAAGCATGGACAGTTTGTACTAAATGAAATTAAACATTTAAGTCACCGTAGCCTTCCTGTTAACCATTAATTGTTTAAGTGTGCCATATTGCATGAATGGTCTCATCTTTTTCCTACTTACACAGCTTCATTTCATGATTTCAACAGAAATATTTTTTTACAGCATGGTGCCATGTCAATCATAACTATTTATATAGTTATCTAAACACACACTGATGGTTACCTCTCATGACGAAACCAAAGCTGCTCCCCTCTTTGTGCAAACAGATGTCGATTGTCTTTGATATAACCCCTGAGGTGCTGTCTGGTGCTTTGAGAAGGAGGAAATGTAGAAAGGAAGAGAGGGAGAGAAAGAGAGATAATGTAATTTATTAATTTTAGTGAAAGAGTACTCTAAATATAAAATATAACAAAAATCATTTGCTCCTTTACCAAGTATCAATCAATCAATTAAAGTTTTGTTCATTTGAATTTTGTTCAATTTGACATAATGCTAACGGAGCATAACCATTTAATATAGTATGGATAATCACTTAATATAATATTATTATAATGATATGATGAATATTTGCTTTACAGTTACAACACTGCAGTGAATTGCACCTGGATCCCAATAGATACACAGTATGGAGTGTGGGTCTTAATTAAGGATGCATGTGATCTCTTATATTATTATATTATATTATCCTATAATCTTAAAATGCAGTATAATAAAATAAAACTATTGGTGCTTCAGTCAGATAGCTCAAATTCTGACTGTGTCACACTGCCTGTCTGATCTGTTTAGTTATCCACCGTTTCTGTTATTTAGTATTGTTGTATTTTGGTCTCATTCTGTCTGCTTGTGGTCTTGTTTAGTTTGTTATATTCATTACTCTGATCTGTTCTGTCTTATTTTGATATAATCTGTGCCTGCTTTAGTTCTTGTTTGATTCTGTTTCTGCCTGGTGATTGTTATTAGTTTCCCTGTTATCATGCTTGGTTTCTGTCTGTCTGTCAGATGTCAATTTATGTTCCCTGCCGGTTTCATTATTCATTTGGTTATGATCAATGTGTGTTAGCCTGTTCTGTTCAGTTATCTTAGTCTGTTCTGTCTTATGGAGTTGCCTGTGTTTCTCAGTTACTTGGGCAACCTTGCCTTGTGTTTTGCAACCTGTTAGTGTCTGTCTGTTTTCCCCTGCTGTCTCTCTGCCTGCCTGTGTTTCATTATTCTCATCTCTGTTACCGGTGTTGCTCCCGCCCTGCTCGTTAGTCCCTGTGTAGAAATGCTTGTTTGTTTCTTTAGTCTGTGTCCGGTCATTGTAGCTTGCTCTTTCTCTGTTTCTGTCTCTGTTGTGTGTAGTTTGTTGTGCTCTGTTCCGTGTCCTGCCCTGCCTGTTCTGGATCCTGTGCCCTGTTGGATTTTTCTGTTGGATTACTGTGTTTCCTTTTTGGATTATTTACCTTTTGGATTACTTGGACTCTCTCTCTCTGCAAGTGTGCTCACTTTTTGTTTCGTGAATAAACCTTATCAACTGAACCAGCTCTGTGTCCTGCATTTGGGTCCTCCAACCTGCTCAACCACACAGCAAACCGTGACAGATTGCCACATGCTCTTTGTATTAACAGGCATACAGACTGAAAATGGCACAGCATTAAAATAATGCAAGGAGCTGAGATAGTGTGGGCGTGTTGCTACAAGTACAAGGGATACAATGCAATTAACTGAGGAATGGGTGCATGAGTTTAAAGTGTTCTCAGATGAGAAAACCCTGCACAGCAGTTTATGATACTATGACACAGAATATTTGAAAGTTATCACAGCAACAATAATATATTCTTGTATTCTTATGATCACCAGGTAAACAGTAGAATGACAGAGTTCCCATCCTTTGTGCATTACTGTATTGCATTTGACAACCCTGTTTTATTTTATTTTATTTTTTTGGTTTTACTTTTTTGCTGCAGCCCTATGCAGCCCGGAACCCTGCTGTGTTGGTTCTCATCATAGCTTATTATAGTTTATTTGCCAGAACTATAATCTTTACCCAGCTTTATCCATCTTGTAGTCATCGAATTTTAACAACATTGGTATTAGATGTTTAAAAAAACATTATTGTTAAATGTATTCCAGGGTTTTGCAGAATTGTCTAATATCGTCCTCCTTGTCTGCCAATATGTATTATTCACACAGTGATAATGTCGGACTGGACATGACCTCACTGGAGCTATTCATTTATGGCCCTAAAAACCCTGTGAAAGTGTGTAATTAAACTAATATGTACCTGTAGGGGGCAGTTCATACTCCACCTCCAGCAGAACCCTCTCTCCTACATTCTTCAGTAAGCTGATTATCTCTTCATGCCGCAGTTTGGTCAGATTGATGCCGTTCACCGACTTTATGTAGTCACCGACATTTAACTGGTCACTCCTGCACAGAAAAGGAATCGAAGCATGTAAATGCAGATGTGCATTGTTTTGAAAATGTGGCCAGTGATCTTTAAGACAAGTTTCTATTTTTCCTCTCATTATTGTGAGATGTTTAATTACAGAATAGTCTGAATGTATTTATTCTTCCTCTTCTTCTTTGCGAGTGTTGAACCCACCTGGCTGCCAGTCCTCCAGGCCGTAGGTTGGATACCCGCGGTTTCCCATCCTTGTCGGTTCCTCCTGAGATGGTAAGGCCCAGTGTGCTGCCTTCTTTCTTCACCAGCTCCACCATAGTCACCCCCCGCAGAGCTTCTAACCAAAAACACACATACACATAAAGACAAATACACACACACAAAACAGGGAAAGAGAAGGACGTACCCACACACACACACACACATACACATACAGATGTGTACACGGACATATACACACACACTCAAACACACAAAATACAGAGATAAATGGTTAGTGGCTGCCCTCTGTCCATTCTGATTCCTGGATTAAAGGGAGGCCAAGATACAAGAAAGATAAGTCAAAAGACATTTGCTGCTTTGTCCTTGAGTGAGACACTGATCCCCTGTCTGCTCATTATAAGACAGTCAGGTGAAATGACTAAAATGTAAATGTGAAGATAAGCAAAAGATAAGATAAGCATCAGGTAATGAGAATAGCATAGCATCATTGTTTCATTGTTCATTAGACATAGCACACTATGTATATGTATGAGAAATTCAGCCCTTTTTACCAAAATGAGTGCATATATGCTGTTTTTTTTAAACACGGGTAAACCAACTAAAAATTGGTGATTGACTCCTTTGCCAGTAGATGAGTTTGCCTTTTCAGTTTGTTTCTAATGTGTCGTGTTCAATGTCACAACCACCCTGGAAAACAGAGTTAGTAAACAGTAGAAAGCAGCATGGAGGCCATGACAATGTTACGGAGGTCATTGGCTGAATCCCAATCTCAGGACTCACAGACTCACAGACTCTGAGGCGCGTTCCCGGTACGTCCACGAGGGCTCTCTCTCAGACTTTTTGAGCCTTTTATGCACACTTTCCGTAAGTCTGCATCTCTGCAGACTTTGCCTGACGGAATTAGCCACAGTTCAAAGCGTTGTGACGTTAAACACAGGCTAACTAGGGGAAGCCAGTGTTAAAAAAAGGTAAACAAACATGGAAGGAGCAACTACAAGAAAAAAGACGTGTACATTTAAGTGAATGTTGCTGTTTTGATGCAAACAAAAGTACACTGATTATTTGAAAATTACCTCTGGTTCACTCTGTAAGGCAAGAGTCTCTAATATGTTCAAATCCGATAGTCTATCCCTTCAGTGCCTTGGCCCTGTACATACCATGTTTTGAAGTTGTCAAGGGAACATGATATTTTGCAAAGTGCTGTTCCATTATACTATTTCCTGCCCTTGCAGCCTCTTTCTCATCTCGCACTCAAGCCCTTACCAGGTTATGTCAACTGGGTCAGTGAAGGTTCAGGGCTTAAGCGTGAGGGCGGATTGGCTGCTGTGTGAAACCCGTATACATAGATGTAAAAACAAGATGCAGCCACAGTGTTTCGGGTTAATAGCTCCGTGCTGGGCAGGTGCCAGGTGCGTTTACGGTGTTTGTGTGCTCTGAAAGACATCACAGCATGGATAGAGTCACAGCTTATAGATGCTAATACTATAAACATTATAGATGAGACATTTATAGACATCTGCAGAGAAAAAACAGATGAACGAGAGTGTCGGGAAAAGGGGCGAAAATTAGCGTGTCTACTCGTGTGTCATGTTTACATCTCTGCCGATTGGAGCTGGGGATGATAAATACCCAGGAGTGAATGTTGATTGATTGTACCCCTTTACACTAAAGACAAAGCTAAATGCAAGCAGGTGTTAGTGTTTTTTTATGGGCTTTGGACTATTTACATACTTTAAAACATGGATGTAACTTGTTTGAAACTAAAACCCTCCACCGAACATACTGAAGGGGATTCTCTGTGGACTGTGCTAATGAGGATCAAGGAACGGTGGACCCCTCTTACTTATTTCAATAGGACGACAAAAACCATTGTACAGTGATATAGTCCCGAAACACTTAATTAAACAACTGTATAAGCAAAGGCATCACAATATCCAGAAAAATTATATGTAACCTATTTTCTAACCGCAGCGACCCAGCTATTTGTGGGCTGAGTCAAGGCTAGATGAGGTAAACAACTTAATGGGTTGACTTGGGAAAAACGCTACAGAGCAGGAGAGTTCACATTCATGCTTTTGCGGCTTAGAAGTTAAGAGTTCATGACAAAGGTTCAGCAATAATTAACAATGGAAAGGCATCAGGACTATGTTCTTCTGTTTCTACAGTGATCATAGTATGTATGATACAGGCATTGAAAGAGACCATGTGAGCTGGTATTTCTTTAAATGTCCTCTCAAGGACAGAATGACAAAGGAAATTATTTGGACAGAAGTTTAGGATTATAGGAAGGTTTAGGCTGTGGTAATGGCAGCTGCGGTAACGGCCCAAATACAGTAAGTTAAAGGAAAAGTTATACCCAGTCTTTTTCCTTGTCAAATGCCACTGCCTACATTACTCACAATGCAACTCCCCCACCAATAATTTATTGGAGATATGAGTGTGTTATACCAGTTGCCACTAGCCTCAAACGGAGATGATGAGATGGCTACAGAGGTCTGTTAAGCTAACTTCTTTTCAACTCCATACCTCAGTTGTTGTTTTTTTAATTTTCAAACTACTGCAGCCCCAACTGAGTCTGACTCAAGTTTCATCACTTTATCAGACTTTGAGCAGCCCCCTCTGGAGCCACAAAATGTTGAATTAAGTTACAATGGTAGGTTTTTAAATTCCAAGGCTAGTGCACCTAAGTGTCAGTGTAAATGGCAGAAATATTGTGGGCCTATTCCTACAACCTAAAATGTATGTCATTATGGTAGGACAAAACTAGAGTGCCCAGTGGGTAGGATGTGGGTTTGTTTTTTATGTTACGTTAAGCATGTGGATTATGGTAAAGATCATGTTAACTCATGTCTACAGAAGGTTAAACCTGCAATTTCATCACCTTTTCAAGGTTCAGTGTGTAATATTTCTGAGGGTCTATTGACGGAAATGCAATATAATATACATAACTATGTTTTCAGTGGTATATGAAGACCTTACATAATAAACTGTTATGGTTTTATTACCTTAGAATGAGCACATAATCGCGGGTCCACCTAACATGGATGTTGCCATGTTGCGCCATTCTCTGAACCAAATGCTCAATGTCCTAAATACATTTGTCGAATCAGTCACTCTTTTGGCAAACCTTAAACAAGTTCAGGTAGTTAAGACACTTTTTGCAAATCTCATCCACTTTTTTTGCAAAACTCTAAATACATTCTCACTCACATGGTATTGCAAAATGGTAAATACACGCGGCAACACAACAAAGCTGTCATCTTTACACACAACTCATAATTCTGCACACTTGCTTCTATAATCAGAATCAGAAAAGCTTTTATTGCCAAGTAGTTTTTACACGTACAAGGAATTTGTTTTGAAGATAAGGTGCTACACATAGACAAATATACAGTTGACATAAATAAATGTAGAAATATATAAATATGGGATAGATTGACAAAAATATGAAAAATAGAAGAATAACGATTAACAACAAACAACAAATATGTGCAATATACCGGGTATGTACAATGGTGTGGGCCTTGTAAATGAAGCTAGCTGCAGAAGGGTAGAAGCTGTTTTTTGTGGTGAGAGGTTTTGGGTCCTGATGGACCACAACCTCCTGCCAGAGGGGAGTGACTGAAATAGTTTGTGTCCACGGTGGGAGGGGTCAGCTGCAATCTTTCCTGCTCGCCTCAGAGTCATGGAGGTGTACCGGTCCTGAAGAGATGGAAGATTGCAGCCAATCGCCTTCTCTGCGAATGATACGCTGCAGCCTGCCCTTGTCCCTGGCGGTGGCAGCAGCGTACCAGATGGTGATGGAGGAAGAGAGGATAGACCATCATTGTCTTTGGCAGGCTGAACTTCTTCAGCTGGCGCAAGAAGTACATCCTCTGCTGGGCCTTTTTGATGATGGAAGTGATGTTCAGTTCCCACTTGAGGTCCTGGGAGATGATGGTGCCCAGGAAGCGGAAGGAGTCCACGGTGGTGACTGGGGAGTCACACAGGATGATGGGGAAGGATGAGGCAGGGCACTTTTTGAAGTTCATGACCATCTCCACTGTCTTCAGAGCGTTGAGCTCCAGACTGTTCTGGCTGCAACAGGTCAATGATGTGATCAAACCAATATGTGGTCAAGTCCCTGTCCAGCGTAGTGGCAATTTCACCCTTTAACCAAGCTATAAGTAAGGGACAGGTTCTCTACTGTCATTCTACCTTGAGGCCATATAACACTGAACATTGTCTTCCTTTTCTAGGTGGTCTTTGAAATTTTGTGTTTGAGTGTGAGCAGCTGGATCATCAGCCGGCAGTACATCCTGTCTATGGTACAATGTCAGCTTTCACTGTGGTGTCCCACTAAGCAAGTTGTTCAACATTAACTAGCAACCAGTGATTCATTAATATTTACCTTCAACCATACAGCCAGGGATGTACTGGGACTGAAACTCAGCTCGGGACTTTGAGACAGAGAGGCCTTTTATGCGAGCGCCCTTTTGGGGGCGGCATAAATATTTTTTGCAGTTACTTTAATACATATTTAATACAATTTGTTGTATACAGCGAATCAGATTATGCTGAAGACCTTCAAGAAACTTCAGGATGACACTGCCTCTTCAGTTTGTCTAAGCAAGGCAGCTCTGCACTGAACAAGACCAGGTCAGGCAAGCCTGAGTCAGTCAGAGGGCTAAAATACTACTGAATACTGAAATGGTATTATGGTTTTTGGCTTTTTCCCTCTCCTTTATTGAGTTATATATCTGTTTGTGCATGTACTAGGTTTGCAAAGTGAAAAAGCCCAAAGTCCAGCCCAAAGGGAGTTCCCATCTGCCAAGAAACTGCTCCGAATTGCCTGAAAACAGCTCGTTTGTAGTCCAGCCTTTACTTCCCTTTCTATTGACGTCACAATGAAAATAGGTGTCATAATGCTCGCTGAGCGACTAGTCCGACACACCCTCAAAAACACCAGTGGAAAAGCACTGAGCTGCAGCACACACCTCTCCTCTCCCTTCCAAACACTAGCTACCCTCCAAGCAGTCAATGGAGATAAAGTTGTTCCTGTGATGTAGAGACAGAGCTCAGTTAAAACTTTATGGATGAAAGATACTTTTGTTACAGATTAATAACTCACCACTC